TTTTCCTATTGTCTTCTTTCACTAAATAATTTGCATTTCAGATTTTCCTGTATCTTCTCCTGGCTTGATCATTCATTTCTTCTTAGCACTTACACGATTCCGTTGTGTGGCCGTACCACAGCTCATTTATTCACTCACCTGTTGAAGGCTACCTTCATCACTTCCAGATTCAGCAGTTCTAGATAAAGCCACTGTAAACTCTCACATGCTGCTTATTATGTAGACCTAAGTCTTCACCTCCTTTGGGTAAATACAAGGAGTGCTATTATTAGGTCATATGGGGAGAAAAGCCTTCGTTTTGTAAGAAACTGCCAAACTGTCTTCCAAGGTGATGGTGCCATCTTTCATGCCCACCAACAGTGAACCAGAAGAATCATCACACGTTTCCCAGCACGTGGTGCCATTGTCTGGGATTTGGTCATTCTCATAGGTGTGTGGTGATGTCTGAGTGTGGTTTCAGTTCATGTTTCCCTGATGGCAGGTGATGGGAAGAATTAAGTCTTATGACTTAATTTGCCATCTGTACCTACTTTGTTGTGGTGTATTTTAAGGCCATTGACTCATTTTTTGATCAGTTTGCTTTCTTGTTTAAGAATGTTTTGGACAGGAGCCCTTTATCAGATATGTCTTTTACAAATATTTTCTCCCAGGTGACTTGTTTTTTGTTCTTCTGGCAGATTCTTTGCACAGCAGAAACTTAATTTTCATCAAGTCCAGCTTTTCAGTTATTTCTTTCATGGGCTGAGTTTTTGGTTTTATATTTGCAAAGTCCATGCCAAACCCAGGGTTATCAAGATTTTCTTCTAGGTTATCTTCTAGGAGTTTTCTGGTTTTACACTTTGCTTTCCAGCCTATGATTTTTTGAGTTAATTTTTATGATGTATATAAGGTTTGTACCTCTTTCTTTTCTTTCCTGTGGGTATCTAGTTATAGCACCATTTATTCATTCATTTATTTATTCACTCATTTATTTCTACTCCAAATTATTTTATTGGTTTTCAGGGAATATGCCAGAGTAAATACACCTTAATAACATTTTCGCTTAACAGCAAAATCAAAGAGTATATGCATGACATACATACTGTATATTTGAGCTACTTAATTATGATCTTCCACTGTCTCTAGCACCATTTATTGAAGAGACCATCTTCACTCCATTGTATTACCTTCGGTCCTTTGTCAAAGATCAGTTGACCATCTTTATGTGGACCTCTATTCATAGGCTCTTTATTCTGTTCCATGAATGTGTTTGTCTGTTCTTTTACCATTACCACACTGTTTAATTATCTTAAGGATTTAGCCTGGTATTGCATTGAATCTATCAATTAAGTTGAAGAGAATCCATGTCTTATCAATGTTGAGTCTATTCGTGAACATGGAATACCTCTCCATTTATTAAATTCTTTGATTACTTTTATCATAATTTTGTAGTTTTCCTTATATAGTTCATACTTATATTTGGTTAGATTTATATCTAAGTATTTCATTTTTTAAAAAAGATTTATTTATTTATGCATACAAGAACTAGGATACAGGCCAGAGGTGGTGGGATGAGAGGATTCATCAGAGACAGAGTGGGGAGCAGAACAGGCGGATTGACTGAAATACATAGCTGAGGGGAGCAGTGGGTGAGACAGGAGAGGTTTGCTGTGCCATGTGGGTCACATCCTTGGCCAGGGATCAAACTTGTGCTGCAGTAGCTGCAGATTGCTTCATAGTGCTGACACTTAACCTCTTGCACCACCAGTGAGGCCCCCTTAGTATTTCATTTTTGAGGTGCTAATGTAAATGGTATTCTGTTTTTAATTTAATTTTTTGATTTAATTTATTTATTTTTTAAATGTTTTCTGTTTTTATTTATTTATTTATTTATCTATCTATTTATTTATTTTATTTTGTGGGACCCTTGCCGGTGGCTGAGGATCAAACTGGCGCTGCAGAGGCTGTGGGCAGCCTTGCAACCCAGCGCTCAACCACTGCGCCACCAGGGGAGGCCCTGCTTTTAATTTTAGATTCCACTTGTTCATTGCTGGTATATAGGAAGTTGACTTTTATAAATTAATGTTAAATCCTGCAACCTTGCTATAATGGCTTATTTGTTTCATTAGTATATTTTTGTCAGTTCTACATAGATGTTCATGCAATCTGTAAACAAAGACAGCTTTATTTCTTCTCTCACAAAATTTACCTTTTATTTCCTTTTTAAAGGAAATATTTATCCTTTAAAAATTTCATTATTGCTTTAACTATAATTTCCAGTATAATGTTAAGAAGAAATGTTGGTGAGTGGAAACATCTTGGACTTGTTCCTGATTTTCATAGGAAAGCTTCTAATTTTTCCTCATTAAGTACGATGTTAGAAAGCTGTAGGGTTTTGTAGATATTCTTCATCAAGTTGAGGAAATTAATCTCATTGCAAAAGCTCACTACTGAGAGTTTTATATTTTGTCATCTGCTTTTTCTGCATCTATTTATATTGATGTAATCATGTGAATTTCCTACTTAGTTCTTTCTTCTGATGTTTTATATCAATTCACTTTTTAGTGTTGAATCTACCTTGCATGCTTGGGGTAAATTCTAGTTGGGCACAGCATATTCTTTTTATATATTGTTGGATTTGACTTATATTTTGTTGAAGATGTTTATCATTTGTTCATGAGAGCTATATTCTATCATTTTCTTTCCATGTCATATCTTTCTCTGATCTTGAAATTAGGGCAATTTTGGGCTTTTAGAATAGTTAGGAAATATTTCTTCTGCTTCTATCTTCTGGATGAGATTGTAGAGAATTGGTATAAATTCTTTCTTAAATATTTCATAGCTTTCACCCGTGAATCAACCTGGATCTGGTATTTCCATTTTAAAAGTTATTAATTATTGAATCAATTTCACTCATTATTAATTTCTTGTGTGAGTTTTGGCATTTTGTGTCTTTTAAGGGTTCGGTTCATTTCATCTCGGTTATCAAATTTGTTCATAGTTTTCCTTGATTCCACTTATATTGCTTATAGCATCTTCAGTGGAAGAAGATTAGTTTGACTTCTCATTAGCAAACTGTGCCTTCTCTCTTTTTTCTTAGCTTGACTACTAGCTTATGACTTTGTTGATCTTTTCAAAGAATAAATTGTGGGTTTCATTGACTTATTTTCTTCTTGATTATTTCTTGTTTTCAGTGTCATTGATTCTTTCTTTAATTTTTATTACTTCTATTCTTCTTTCTTTGTATTTCTTTTTTTGTTAAAATAAGTGAACTTTACTGAAGATATTATCATGGGTTTTTTTGTTAATCAACTCTCAAATTTCTTCCTTTTTTGTTCTTAAAATATGCAGATAATGTGAGTGGTGAATGGTATGAAATAATTCATAGCATTAATTCAGTTCTTTTTCTCAAATTATGTTTATTGAGGTAAAGTGTTTTGCATCATGTATCTGTTTTGGGGACTATTGTTTTAAACTTCTACAAATGTATATTTTCACATGATGCCCATCTTAATTTATCGTTAAATTACTGATTTTTAGATCTTCTTTCTTCAAATAAAAATTGTATGCATTTAAGGTATACAACATGATATTTTCCTAGTGAAGTGATCACTACACTCAAGCTGTATTACCATATCCACATTCTCACATAGTTATCAAGTTTTTACTTTGTTGTCTTTGTGATAAGAGTGCCCAAAATCAACTTTCTTAGCAAATTTCCAGTTTGTGATATGTTATTAACTTCAGTTTTGATTCTGTACAGTAGATCTCTGGATTTACACATCCCACATAACTGAATCTTTGTGCTTTGGGCAACATCTAGCTGTTTCCATGCTCCCCCCGCCCACACCAAACTTCTGACAACCACTCTTTTCTTCTCTCCACTTCTGTGATTCAATTTTTTAGGATTCCACATATAGGTGAGGTATTTTTCTTTCCATGTCTCTCTCATTTTATTTAGTGTAATATCCTCCAGGTTCATCCATGTTGTTGCAAATGATCAGATCCCCATTCTTGAGGCTGAATAACATTTTTCTATATATGTCTTCCCCAGTCATTTATCACGAGACACTCAGGTCTTCTTTCCCAATGAATGTACTCAGTGCTACCCTCCAAGCATTGCTTTTCCTGTCCCATTTTTAAAAGGAAATATGAAACATTTAATGAAGGGATAATTGATGAAATACATATCTCATTGACGGTCACATGTTGACAAAGTGTCATATGGGAGATGTAGGGTTGTCTGACTGTGAGCATTAAATTTTATTAACAACTCGAAAATGACCTAGTCAGTTATTTCTGTGACTAACAGATTGCTCAGGGTTATTTAGATTTTCTCAGGATTCATTTCTCGAATCTTTAGCATTCACAGACATTGATATATTGCTATCATTGAGTGAGTTAAGTAAAATCCTATCCTAATTATTTAAAATAAGACAAAGCACTGATCAATGAGGCGATGTCTAATGAGACAATGATAGGTAGTAGTTTGCGTTTTCACTGCTCATATTTATAGGAAGAAAAATTCCTAGTTTACTCCCAGTTTTGATAAGGTACATGTGGATGATTGTACCTAATGGTATTTTTGATTTGGATTGCTGGCTAGTTTACCATTTAACTTTCTTTATTAGTGTGAACATATGGTCAAATAAATTAAATGGATGAATACATTAACAAATTGTTGAATGGATAAATGAATATATAACATTAAAATCAATTTTGAGTCATCATTGATAATGTGAAATGTGGGCTTAAATACCCATTCTGTGAAATCAAGATCCATTAAAATAATCTGTTATTCAGTTAAAACTATTAAAACATGAAAATATATTTAATAGACATTGTTTTTACCTTATGTGATAGATTTAACAGTGGCTATTATATTATTTAAAAGTACAAGTAAAATATTGGACAGATTGGAAAGGAATGAGGTTTTTTATTACCAGTTAATTTCTATCTAGTTTATTCTATCTCCTGACATACATTACCAATCTAGTTTAATTCTGCTCTTTCCTCTGCAGAATGACCACAGGACTGTGGGCTCATTCATTTTCTAAGAAAAAAAAAATCGTGACAATTAGCTCTGTGGTAAAGAACACAGAGACAAATGTAAGTAAGACTCCAAGTTCCCATCCTGGGTTGAGAGGTTTTGTTCTGGAGTTTTTAGTGGTGCTTGAAAAAAATCAATGTCTATGTGAGAAAAAGAATCCCCAAGTGTGGACCAGTGATGGGAATATGTTCTAACTCAAATTGAAATTCAGTCTAATTTGGCACAAATGACATTATTCAAAAACATGTAATGGTCATTTCATTCATTTTCAGAAACTGTTTATGCCACTGCAAACATCCCCAGTCCAGGCAGATAACCTGGAAGACAATGGGACACGCTGTGTCAGTAAAGGTGGTGGTGTCATCACTTTCCATTCAGTCACCCCTAAATCATGAGCAAATTAAATAAGAAAAGTCACAGAAGGACCTGTGGTGAATGTGGATTTGATGGGAAACGTGGCTATTTACCGATCACACATGTTCTCTGAGGTCCATTTTCAAGGGAGATCTAGCCTGTTTGCTCTATGGGGAAGAGCCACTAGTAGCAAGATCTTGTTCCTGGAATCTCATGATCCTATTGATTCATGGGTCGGGAAATAGATAAATAAATGAAGACGTGCTTGGACCAATGATGAGTACCATGGGGTATCTGAAACTGGAGTTTTGATTAAACCCATATGCAACTCTGAGGTCCATTTTAAAGAGACACGAGGTTATTCCCTCTGTGGAAATTGAGCCTGTGGTCATTTGTGCTTTTGTGGTTTTTGAGCTGATTTTATTTTTATTACTTAACCCACAAATTTAAAAATACATCAATGAATGAATGAAAGAGGAAGAGAAATCATGTACTCATTTTTAAGAAATAGAATGAAGGGATTATTAATAAAATCTGATGGAGATTAAAAGTCCCAATAAATTCATAGTCAAGGTTCTCACTACTCTGGAAGGGAGTGTATGACCATTTGTACGTAACGGCCTAGAGTTTCTGTGCTGTGTTGGTGGTAGCAGCTGACTGTTTTATGAAGGAAATGAAACACCTTTACTCATATAAATAGTTCGTTCAATAGCCATATTATCCAGAGCTCCACAGAGACCGACGATGAGAATATATTTTGTTTGTTTTATTATGTTTATTGAGGTAACACTGGTTTACAATACTATATATGTTTTAGGGGTACAAATGTATGTTAGCACACCACGCCTAAAGCAAAGCCCCCATGATCTCCCACCCCAGTCTATTGGGCTCCCCACACTTTGCATGCGTTCACCTGCCCTTCCTCCCCTTTGGCAATTAGATTTCAAGAGTTTGTCTTGGTTTGTTATTGGCTGTTCCTTTGCTTTGTTGTTTTATATTTGACATAGAATGAAAATCATCTTGTTTGTCTTTCTCTTTCTGAATTATTTTTCTTAGTAGAAACCATTCAGTTCCATCCGTTTTGTTGCAAATGGCAAGATTTAATCTTTTTCTTTTTTATTACTGAGTAGTATTCCACTGTGTGTATGCACCACATTTTCTTTATCGTCTCATTGTTTGGCATTTAGATTGCTTCCATAGCTTGGCTGTTGTAAATAGTGCTGCAGTGAACACAGAAGTGCATGTGTCCCTTTGAATTAGCATTTTTGCAGTCTTCGGATAAGTCTCTAGGACTGAAATTGCTGGATTATATGGCAGATGTACTTTTGAGATTTTTAAAAGAAACCTGATGAAAATGTTTAAATCTAGTATTTTTTTTTACTGATGCTTATTAAAACAATAAAAAGCAATCAATCTGTTTACAATAATGACCGTGGACAGACAAAAATTTTGCCCAGAGTTTTTGTTCAGTGTATTCTATAATTTTTGTATAATTTCAGTATATACTGAAATTTTTGTATAAACAAAAAGATATAACTTTATATCTGAATGTACTTTTTAAAAGTCAGCCAACCATGGACCAATTAGGAACATATATTTCCATGTAGGGATACTGATTCATCTTGTTTTCCAACAACCGATACTCTGTGAAAAATTCTAGACTCTTCTGTTTTTTGAAAGGTGCACCTGGACATTTCTAAGTAAAGTAATTTGGTTCCAGGTTAGTGTTTATCCATTTTGAGGTTTCTTGGAAAAATGAGGACATGGTATTATTATTCCCAGAATAATAAAATAAATCAGTGAGTGAATCTCTAAAGTGCATATGGTGGGGAATGGATGAGATTGTACCATGAAACAAATTTAGTATGTCCAGTTTTGCACAAATAGTCCAATAAAGAATGATAGACTATCATCTTTCTCATTAGCTCTCCCTCTGAAGCAGCAACTTGAGTCAGCTGTCTCTGTTACAGTTTTTATTTCATGTAGAGCAGTGACTTCAATAGTATTCATGTTATTTAGTATATTTTAAGTAAAGAAAAGAGTGTGATTCTTGGGAAAATGACCAGGATATAATATGAATTAGGGCTTGTGACTCATCCAGCCCTGGACAAAGGTCAGTGTTGAAAGGAATTCTGTCTTCGGTGTTTTTAAACATAAGCTTTCACCCCCTTTATAGAAAGAGCATCACACAGCTGATTTAATCATTAGCTAATTGTGAAGACCTTGGCTGTGACTTCTGGGATGAAGGAGTCTCCAAACTGATGTAAGTGAACATTTCCATTGATTATTTTAAGAAAACAGTTAAATAGTCGTGACGCTAAGGACGCCGACCACAAGCCCCTGACCGGAATGTGCCATGAGTCCAGATCTGTGGTGGGTTCCACTCGCCCCCCAAAGACCAGTGCAAGTATTTTCAACGCAGGTCACTTCTTGTTTATTTGCTTAATTCCTTACTTCGCTGATAAAGGTCAAAGTTGCTCACTCGAGACCGGAGGGCCTTGGAAGATGACAGGTGTCAGTTTTGTCAGTTCAGGCTCAGGGCAGGTCTGTAGTTGTCGGTGACACCCACTCTGATATATGTGACATTGATTGAGAAGAAGAGCAGGTAGAAGCCAAGCGTGAGTAAGGGGCTGATGGAAAGTCAGGGAGCTGATTAAGATGACATGTAAAACAGAGATTGATTTGTGAAAAGTAACCAGGTTGGTTTGCTCTGCATGAAAAGCAGGGGCAGTGAAAAGCGCCTGGTTTTTGTTCCCAGTTATGTGTCTTAAAGGTTATTGATTGTGTAATTATGATACATGAGCTTATGAATGAATAAATGAATGTGTTCAGGAAGGCAAAAGTGACCGAAAAATAGGAGGCTGTCCTGGGATTTATAGGACATGTGGGTGGGGGTGTCTGAGTTAACACCTTCCACCAGTCCTCTGTGGAGTCCAGGGCCATGAGGGAGAGGAAGCTGTCAGCATTCTCTGTAGAGATTTGTTAATCGTACAAGTTAGGAAAATTCAATAAACTTGTTCCTGGGCTTTAGTGGTTCATGTATGTGGATTATATTCTTTCAAGTGAATCAATGTATGAATAAATAAAGGAATATGTAGGTAAAAGCCAAAGAGGCCTACTCAAGGGACAATCTCTAGAATGTTACCAACATGATTGATATGGATATGATTCTCCAGTAGAATGGACAGGTTGAGTCTAGGTTTTTTTCTTATGAGTCACATTATTATCCATAATTGAGAAGTATTGTTTTGAGTTTTTTTAATTTGCTGGGTTTTTTTAATTAAGGAAAGGAAAAGTGTTTGGATTAGTCAGTAATACATTAAATAACCATCTACTTAATAAATGTTTCTATAGGTGGGTATTTGTAATAATTATAGCTCTTATTCTTGGATTAGGCAGGAGATTTATTGTGTTTATTGTATTATCATTATTATTTTATTTTTCCAAATTATGTTTGTGGGGGTAAGTAGGTCTCCATTTTTGTATCTCTTCCAGGGATTATAGGTTCAAACCTCTATATATGATTATCATTTTATTTTTAAGTAAGAATTTTAAGTAGGATTAATAAAAAGTTGTACTTTTGAGCCAAGGATTATTGCTATCTAGTTCTGCCTGACTAGCAAGCACTGGAAAATTGAAATTTAATCTCTCTGCTTTTTTCTCTCCAGAGTGAACACGGGACAACTGATCTAATCATTTAATACAGAGTCGTTATGAGCAAGAACAGAAAGAATAATATAAGTAAGTCCCTTAGTTCATATACTTTGGACAGTTTGTTCTTCAGGTGCTGTCTGGAGAATTTCTAAGTGACCATTGGACTACATTGACTATGTCCATGTCCCATATGCTTGTCCTATGACCTTCAAATAAATGAAACACTCCAAGTCCGGACAATGACGGTGGGAATGCTTGATACCCCAAGTATTATATTTAATATCAATCACAGGTAATTTTAAAAGAGGATAGAAATTATTTAATTTATCCTCTAAACAGTTTAAAATTATTCTTTATTTTCTATCATGTTTTAATTAAGCATTCCAGTAGGGGTAGAGTTGGCTGACAACTTGGGGCACACAGGGATGACTGAAGGTGGTAATTTCATTACTTTCCATTGAGGCACCTTTGACACATAGGTGAATTAAATAAAGTGGGCCACGCAGGAAACGCGGCTGAATGTGGGTTGATTCAAAGCTGGGGTGGTGTCCATTCCCAGGGGGCCTGACACACAGGAACTAACAGATAGATGCAGTGTGTGAGCTCTGCAGCACAAGGGCCGAAAAGGCCGGGATCGTGTTTTTTTGGGACTCTATGTTTGTATGATCACATTGTGAGCCAGTAAATGAATCCATGAGTTGGAAAAAAGTGTCACCAGTGTGACCAGTGATGAATGTCATGGGGTTTCTGAAACAAGGATTTTGATTAAACCCATTACACAGAGACCCCTCACTATTCTCTTTATGGGACATGAGCCCACAGTACCTTATTCTTGGACTTTTGTATCTTGGAGTAGGAATTGCATTAATGTAATAAAATTAGCCACAAGTAGAGGAATAGATGGTGAAGGGAGAATGCGAAATATCTTACCCTGCTCTTAAGACAAGTTATGAAACAATGACTATTATTAAATCAATTTTGAGATCTTAGTGCCAATAAGTTAGCTAATTAAGTCCCACCAGGTTAGCTGAGGCTCTTATCACTTTGGTAAGGAGCATGGGTCAGTGTCCATGAGCGTCTGTGTTTCTGTTCTGTGTGGAGGCAGATTGCCCATCGGCCATTCAGCGAAGGCAAAGGGAAGACATGCATGTGAATCACTGATTGAACAACTGAGGGAGAGCATGGAGCAATGATGAGACCTTTTATACAAGCACGCGTAGGATTACTGCAATTTCTTTGCAGTTTTATGTAAGCAAAAACACATTAGAGGGGTCAGTTTGCCATTATTTTGGGTAATGACATAAGGACATATACAGACATTGTTCAGGGCACAGTCTAATGTGGTCAGTGCAAACAGATGGAAGCTTTCCTACATCAGGTCAGTTTTTCAAAAATGGCCATGAACAATGCATCTCTGGAAAACACGTGTTTGGACATAAATATTGTGATCGCCATGTTTGACTCTGCATCTGTCCATAGGGAGACAGCTTCCGGCCTTTCTAGTGGTGTAGCTATAAACTTGTAAGTAACAGTCAAATACCATGTTGTAAACCAATGTTACCACAATTGAAAAACAAGGAAAAAAATAGTAGTGTTTTGGTTCTTGTCTAAACATTTTAGATGTTCTCATTAGCTCATATGTCATTAAATCAACGAGTTTGTGAGTTAATAACTACACATAGTAGTTAAACTTGGACCATTGGTGAGACTGTGCCATGAATTACTGCACACCCTGTCCCTGCATGTGCAGTCAGAGTTCAACACAAAAGATGGTCTTGGCTTTGCCCTACATGGGTAACAAGGACACATGTATATTCCTAATAAGTATAGTTATTTGCCTTCTGTTTACTGCTAGCTTCAATAGTTTTCATCATATTATTTAAACTAAAAATCACACAGATTCATAAACATAAAGTAGAGCTCTTTCTTAATTTTGAGAGTAGGATATGACTGATTGATGATAACAAAACTATGGTTCATTGAAGATACTAAATGTAGTCTGATTGGCTTTTCTTGGGCAATGCTAAGAGAGAGTGTTTCCACCTCTACATTTATTCTATGAGCTTAGTACTGAGACACAAAGTTGCGTGGGAATGAACAGTACTAGATTTTTCTTTTTCACATAGAGTGAGAAGAGATCACCGTAAGTCATCATCAAAATCCATGTTGTTTTGGGGATTGTTCTGGGCATTCACTGGAGTGTTTTGAAGGAAAGACTCGTTATAGACATAACCAGTTCAAGGTGGTCATACACTGGGTGAGGATGGAAGTGTGTTATGAATTCAGAATCACGGTCAATGCATTTCATCCTACCCGAGCTCATTAGCACAATAAGATGCAGGATATTTCAGTCATTTTGGGAATATGGATTTAAACACTTCCTTCAGTTATTGTTATAGACTATGAGTTCATTGGGGGGGACATAGGAAAATGGGAAATTTTACTTTCTCCTTAGTTGTGGTACAAAGTGGAAGTTCATTGTACCAACTTTAAAATATGGGTGTTAAATGAAAGAGGTTCACGTATGAACCAATCACTAACAGGAATTGATGTGTTGTGAGGAAATGGGCTAAATCATATTTGCGATGCTGCGGTGCATATGCAGAAAGAGCAGCTTTGTGAAAATTCAAGAATCTGGCTTTTATTTTCCAAAGTGTTACACATTGATTGCATTATTAGTAGTGAATCAAGGAATAAACCTAAAACAATCTATCAACTGAAGGCCCAGACTGCCAAGCCTGGCTCTGTGATGAGGACGTGTGGGGCATCTGAATAAAATGTATTGATTAGATCCCGTCTGTAGCTCTGAGGCCTATTGCATCTGTGAGAAGTTTGCTTGCAGGAGAAGTTAGAACTGTTCAGAGGTTATATCCTTGATGTTTTGTTGTTCAAGAATGTGGGTTGTCTTAGCATAAGTCAGTCAGTGTGTGAGTGAAGGGTAGGTATAGAGGAGGGTGACATATGCCCCTTCCTGGAAGGAAACAAGTATCAAGACAGCGACCATTGCATTTCTGAAATTCTGCGTTCAAACGAAATTGCTAAGACTGACCTTCATTTGGGAACAGAGCAATAGGAAACGTGAACATCAGTGTTGTTCTGGGTGGGAGATGAGCTGATGCTGCTTGTCTTATTGTAAAAAGGGACAAAAATTTATATAATTGCTTAATAAATGCTCACTATAATAAATACATTAAACGATAATATAACAAGTCATGATGAACACATATAAAATTTTAGCAAAGATAAATGAACATAAAAAATAAAATACAAATGATTGGGTATGGAGCAGATGTTAGCATGAACACTGAAAATGTTGAATAGAATAATTATGAATCCTCTTATGTTAAATGATTTTTATCTAAATAGACAAATATAAAAGAATTTTGTGAATGACCTTTTAAAGTGATTAGTGACTGGGTAGGTGTTAGTGTCACTAGCATTCGTGTGCAGTGTTTTCAGGGTTCACTAACATTGGTGCAAGTAAAAGATGATGGAACATCTTAACCATGATTTAAAGGAGTGTAAGTCACGCGCAGTAGAGCATGTGGATCCTATGAAGAAGCATGGCTAATCCTGTGATACCTTCTTGTAGCAACTCAAATAAAACGCATCCAGGCCCTTCTTCTTTAAGAAGGATCATAGGACCCCAGTCTACAAACACATCTTGATGTTAACATTAAATTCAAGTTAATTGAAACTAAAAATTCAATTCCTCATTAGCATGAATCACACTTTACATCCTAAGTGACTTTACATCCTAAGTGGCCAGTGGCTATTAGTGGGCAATGCTAACAGAGAGTGTTTCCACCTCTGCATTTATTCTACGAGCTTAGTACTGAGACACAAAGTTGCGTGGGAAATTATTTGGTTTTGGGTAGCAGAAGGATCTGCCATTTAGTATTTTCTTTAGGAAAAAAGGAGACAATGAAATGACCTCCAGAGCATTAAATACACAAATAAATTAATTAATCAATAAATACTTGTATTAAAGTACAGTGTAGTATTGATCAGATTCTGTTGTAAAGCAAGAGTTTAAATTCATCCTATTTTGTAAAAGGTTTCCCTATTGAAAAGCTGTCGGGCTTTTTTGCTATTTGACAGGGGTATGTAGACAGATATTAATAATAGTTATAGATCTTCTTCTGTTGGTTTAGATTAAAAGGTCTTCATTATTTTAGCCACTCTAAAAAGTGAGCAGGTCAGTAGGTGGATTGATAATGAAAATTCACACAAGCCAATGTTTATGGATCTAGTAACAAATGACTTCTACTTAAAAATCTAAATTTACACTTTCTTTTTTTTAACTCTACCTTTACCTCTTGAATGAAGACATCACGGTGGACGGTCACTGTCCGATTGGCTCTTGAAGACCGTAGCTGTTACTTCTGTCTATAAGAAGCAATGTAAGTAGCCAAGTTTCTGATCTTGCTTAATTTGGTTTGTTCATGTATTGTCACTGAAGTAGTTCAATGGAACCAAAGGCTAGATCCATCCCCAAAATAAATCCAAGCACACCAAGTATAGGACAATAATGAGAATGAGTTGTGGGTCAAGGAACAGAAGTAACTCATTTCAGCAAAACTGAGATTCCCTTTGATATAAGATGGAAGGCATTTGGTTAATCTTCAGAAGTGGTTGCAACCCTGTGTTATTTCTACACCACAGTTGACTTAAGCATTCCCATATTGGTGGAAATCCATGCTGTTAATTGTTTAGAAGAAGCTTAGCAGGTAGAATATACAGTTGGTGCTCGAATTGTAGGATACCATTGCGATTTTGATTTTTCATCATGCCATGTTTGAAATCAGATAAGCTAATTGAACATAGCCTGATTATGGACCAGTTTGGGATAGAAAGTAAGGTTTATACTGAGATCTGTCTAGTCTGAAAGTTCTGTGAGAAATGAGCTTAAAGGCAAGTTATGGTTATATCAAGGCTCTTCTTATTCTTGGGAGTTTATGATTCATGAGAAAATGAAGGTTCACATTTAAAGAGAAAAGAGCATCAAGACTGGACCGATGATGAGATTGGAGGGTGTCTGAATCAAAAATTTTGATTAATGCCATCTTTAACTCTGAGGTCCATTATTTAAGATTGACCTCCCTTTTTCCTCTATGGACACGAACTATTAGCCAAAGTTCAGATTATTCTAGATATTTTTATCATGGGTATATACACTGAGAGATCAATTCAAGTGCTCATTTTATCATTTAAAGTTAATAGTTGAATCAAGAAATAAAAAAGACTACTGTTCTAGGCACAGTGGAAAAAATGGGACCTGATTAGCTTTATGATTAACTCAGTACCACACAAATAATGTCTTTTAAATCAATCTAGTTCCGAGGTGTTCTTGTTTTGAATATTGCATTTGACTCCACAGAATGAAGGACATAATCGATTTAATCAGTCTCTGCTGGTGAAGACCTTGGAGCTACCTTTGTAGGTAAGGAGCCTAATGGCTAAAGTAAATAATAGTTAAAAGATCTTGTCAATTGGTGTTGACTATCTGTGTTACTGGTTACTGAATTACATTACATGCTACCATCATGTAGACCAATGATGTGAATATAGTATGAAACAGACTATGGCTAATCCAAATCAGTACAGTTGTGGTTAAAAATAAAATGGAAGATATCTCATTCCTCTTTAAAGCTGATTAATAATCCATCTTATTTTTACAATGCATTGCACTGCTTGTTTAATTTAAATATTTATCCATTAACAAAACCTAAGACTTCACTGTCCAAAGTGATGACCCCTACCCACTGGAGACTACTTAACTGTTAACTTTTCATTATAATTAAAAACATAATGGTATTTATAGAATTAATTGATAGAGATGATTGATTATCTAACTATATATAATTAATAATTAATAAAAATAAATAATTACAGTTCATGAATTTTATGTTCAGGTCCTCGCTCGCCAGGCTACATGTAGACACATGTGGCTGGTGGCCATGGTGCTGAGGCGGCCACTGCTGGTGGACAGCTCCCCACCGAGGGAGGATGCAGCTGCAGTCGGGGTGTATGAAGCGGGGTGTTGTCTGATCCATAGTCCACTGAGGGCCGCTGCCCAAAGATCTGATTGATTGAGGAAAGGCCTAATATATGGAGAAAGAGCCTTTCAGCACATCTCGGTCAGAGCCAATGAGCTCTTCGGAGTTTTTGGCTTTTGTAATGGATGCTAACTTGAGCCTTGTAATGGGTCGATGAGCGCATCAATGAACAGAAGTAGACGTGAAGAGAAAGATGCTTCATCTGGATCGATGATGAGTACCCTGGGGTGTCTGAAATCAAGGATTTTGATTAAACCCTGTAACTCTGAGGTCCATTACACAAAAATTCCTGTCTGTTCCCTCGATGGAAAATGAGCTTATTGCAGGAGTTAGAAATATTCAGGAGTTTGTTCTTGGGCTTCTGAGTACTGTGTTATTTTCAGTAAGTCAAAACATGAATAAATAAATAAATGTATAAATGAGCGAAAACAAAATAGGTCACTCCTGGTCCAAAATATGAGAGTATGTAATGTAATAGAGGTAATCTAAAAATCATTATTAATACATTTCTGAAGCACTGAGGTCCAGTAAAATAAACTGATTAAAGGTGACCCTTTGGTTAAAAAGCATTAAGATAAATGAATATAGGAGCCTGTGTCATTTTCTGGGTTGGGTAGTATGGGTAGTAGGTGTTTTGTTTTGTAAAGAAAAGGGCAAAACATTTTCTCAAATTAAATTTTTGATTAAATAACTACATAATTGAGAGAGGGTTTATAGATGAGCCTCTGCTGAGAACATGTCACGTGGGCCAGTTACGATTAATGTGAAGATCTCCACTTTCAAAAAATTTGTTATTGAAGTAAAATTGCATTATTCACTGTTTTCTAATAAGAAAATGAGAACAAATTATCTTTTCATCTGTGCCTCATTAGCATCTGGACATGCATTACTATTGTCCTGTTTCTGGGGAATCATGAATACCCAATAATGATATTATTGTAAATGTGTAAAAGAGTAAGTTAATATGAATCAATGGTTTGAAAGATGGCAAAACATCATCTGTCATGAAACATGCAGTGTGATTAATCCAGTTCAGCACAACTGTTCTCCAGATAAAGCAAACAGACCTGGGTTCGTACATTTTTGGAGTGGAGAATATATTTAGATAGGATTTTTCTTTCTGACTTGGTGCTATATCTTTTAAAAATGGAAGACAAATGACTCTGTGTGTAACTGTGTGTGTGTGTGTGTGTGTGTGTATAAAAGTAGGGCATATGTGGATAATTGGTGAAAATGTGCTTAAATCGAGGCTGCACATTAACCTAATTCTTTCCAAGCAAGATGCATTTAGAAAGATCTAGACCTCACCTAGGCAGGGAGCATGTAAACAAACATGTGGAATAGCCATAGTTGTCACTCTTCGCCAGTGCTTATTACATCAGTTAAATTTAACACTTCAAACAATCAATTAATCGAGATGCTGCTCAAAGTTTTAATATACAGCAGGCACCAAGGTTTTCCTAGTAAGTTTTTATTGACTTGAGCATGATTTAAAAAATCTGAATCCACTGTTCTGATCTGTTGTTTATATTTGCTTTGCACTCCCAGAACGGATACACATTGATTCAATTAAGGAGTGTAGAAACTTCTGTAAGTAACAAAGTAATTGCTTCTGGTTTGGTGGTTTGTCATGGGTGTTAGCTCTATTACTGGAACACAGTAAATGACTACATATACAAATAAAATGAATGAAGGTGACATGTAGGTCAATTCAGCACATCTGTGGTCGATTAAGGAGAAAAAATAAGACCATTTTATTCATTTTCACACTTAATTATTCAATTAATTAACTTATTAATGTAAAATGTGATATTCAATTTTAATTTTGGTCACAGTTGATTTAAACTTCCCTTTATAAAGTCATAGTTTAGTCACATTTAGAGAGTAAAGTGGGCTTAAATAAAGTTTGTGCATCATTGAATCTACCTAGGAAATAATACAACCAATTCTTGAAATATAGGAGTCTGAAATATAGGAGGTCTTACAGTGAGAAAGCTAATCTACACCTTCCATTGGAATTGACCCTATGGACAGATGTCAGGTGTATTTAAAGATCTTTCACTTTTACTATGAATACTTGGTTTTAATTTCAGTTTTATAAATGGATTCATGCTAGAAGCAGAAACAAATATATAAATCAATAAATATGAAGGGTGAAGCATTGATAAACTATGAGTGGTAAGGCAGAGAAATCTATAATATTCATTTTTTTAGATTTATTTTATTTATTTATGCATACAAGAACTGGGATGCAGGCCAGAGGTGCAGAGGTTGAGAGGATTCACCAGAGACAGAGTGGGGAGCAGAACAGGCAGGTCCACTGAAATCCATTGCTGAAGGGAGCAGCGGGGAGATAGGAGAGGTCTGCTGTGCCCTGTGGGTCAGCTCCCTGGCCAGGGATCAAACTCAGGCTGCAGTGCACCACCAGGAAGGCCTGAAATCTATAATATTAATTGAAATCACTGAAGTCCATGAAGAAATAAATTCATGTTACCTCTGTGCCAGGAGCTTATAGATAATGATCTTAATAGTTATAGGTCAGTCTTACTGATGAAGTGGTTCGTTTTGTTTAGAGAAAAATGGGTAAATATTAAGAAAAATTAATAAATAATAACTGAGTGAATGAAATGTGAAAGCAAAAGAGATTGAAGAGAATGTCTTAAGTTTACAAGTCATCTACTTGCTTTGCACGCCTCAGAGTGAACACGCCTAAGCTGATTTCAGCGTCTTCCTGGTCAGGAGGTCTGTGGGGCTCTCATTGTTATGCAGTGGACACTGTGTGAGTAATAGCTGTGGCTTTTCTTTCAGTTTACTTCTTTAAAAAAAGTATACTCCATGTTTTAGTAAGATGTTTCATAGAAGCAGAGAAGGCCACCTATGACCCAATGATCTATATGCAATTGTATGAAACATTGAGGGCAGTCACTATGAGATCTATCATTGTGGCAAATGATAACATAAGTTGATGTAGGGCTATTTGAGATCCTTTTTCTTGTTTTTTAAAATTCATAGGTGCTCATATTATTAGTAGTAGTAATTGGTAAATTAGTTAATAAACAAATATTGATGAAATTGATGAAGAAGAGGCTCCTCTTGGGACCAATGATGATGACTGGTGCCGTATGAGTCATGGGTCATGAATGATACGTGTCTGGAACTCTGAGGTCCAACACAGAAGCAAACCTGGTCTGCCTCTTCTGTTGGGAATGATCTTACAGGCAGGTGTTAGGTGCATCCAAGGACCGTGTGCTTGGTATTGTTCATAGGTCCCGATTCTCTTATTATAATTGGACATGTGGAAATATAAAAAGAATCAAGGAACAAATGTGATAAATATGAATAAGAGGACCATTGTCCAATTATGAAAATATCTCACAGTTAGAGAATCTCTGTATATATATAAAAAATACTAGTTGATTGAAAAAGACATGGTTCTAAGGTGTTACTTCTTTGACTAATGATTATATAAAGAGTATAAATAATAATCTTTTTGCCTGTACTGGCTCAGTTCATTTTTTAAGTGAAATAGTTGTAAATATTACCTCTAAATAATAAATATCTAAATGATCGACTTACTGAAAGGTGAGATACAAGGATTAATGAAGATAATGTTTCATTTATTCATCTTTTCTGTTTCATATGCTTCAGAGCAGGCCTTCCCTAGCTGATCTAAGCATCTTCCTTGGTTCCAAGCTGTTTTGTAGAATGGAGACCAAGGTGAGTAATAACCATAGTTATTTCCTTGTTCTTGGTAGTTTGTTTAGAATGTTAAGCATAGTATTAAAAATAATTGAATATAGTGTAAAAGGGCCAGCCAGAGCTCTATAATAAATATAGAGTTGATATCAAACATTATCTTTGCTAAACAATATTTTTAATAATGGAGATGATTAATGAAATGTTTTCAACAAGGCATTGATTCTGTAGATAGGTGTAGAGTTACTTAAGGGGCTTGTTTTCCAGTGTTTTTGCTTCCTAGATATTTTATAGTTATTAGTTTATTGATAGCTTAATCAGGAAAGAAATAGAGAAGTGGGTAAGGCAGAGTCTGCTTGGACCAGTGATGACGAATGCACGTGAGTCGTGGACGATGAGTACTTCATGTCGGGAACTCTGAGGTCCAGTGAAATAAGAAAGCCAGTCCATTTCCTTTTTTTGGAATTGACTGTATTGCCAGATGTTAGTAAAATTCAAAGAATATGTTATTATTTGTTGTGGATTTTGATCCTATTAATGTAGATAAAAAATCAACACACAATTATGAATAAGGGAAGAATTGTAAATTATGAACATTAATACCCAATGACTGGGTCAGCTATTTGCAGGAAGCAAAGCCTGTACAGATAAGACCTCAAATTCGTATCTCCTCTGCTTTGTGCTGCTCAGAATGCGCGTGTTCAACGTGGTTTGGTTCCCTGCACCTGACAGTCACATTGGTGTCAACATTGGTGTCACATTGGTGTCAACACACCAATGGTGTGCTGACACCAATGTGACTAGCAGAGTCTTGTCTTGTTTGAATGATGTTAAACAGTATTTACACTCTATTTAAAACGTGCGACATATAATCAGTGGACACCAACTATGACATGAACATACATGTAGAATTTAGATGACATAGTGATTAATGCATGTATGAAATCGTAGGAGTTATTCATGGAATAGGTACGTAGATGTGATGATCCTGGAGAGATGTAGGGTACTCAGGGCTCTTGTTCCTGATTATTTTTTGTAGTTCATAGGTTTTATTTCATTATTGTTAGAGAATTAATGACTTAAAAAAATGTAGATGAGAACGTAAAATGAGTCCTGGACCAGTGATGACAACGGATGCACATGAGTCCTATACAATGGATACTACATTTCTGGAATGCTGAGGTCCAACGCAGTAAGAGATCTAGTCTCTTTCCTCCCCTGGAAATGACCTATGGAAATTTGTTAATAACACACAAAGACATTGCTCTTTTTATTTCAGATTCATGAATTTGACATTATTACTATACATAGATGAGTGATGGAACCATTAAGTAAATGTGTAAATAAGTATGAAGTGGTGGAGCATTGCACAATTGTACAATTATGAACATATGTTATAAATGTCTGTAGATTCTTAATATTAATTATAATTAATATAAATGATAAAAATGGATTCCTATTACTAAATAACCAAATCAAGTGTTTTACCTCTTTTTGTTTTTTTAACCTCTTTTCTTACATAATGATATAGACACAAATAATAGTCAACTTTATCGTGTCTTGTGAAAGCAAGTTGTTCATTTTGTTGAGAGATTATGTATGATAAAAATTAATAATTAAGTGACTGAATAAACTAACTAATAAAGAGCAAGATTCAATGGAGATAGGTCCAACACGTTTGAAGCATCTTCTCTGCTCTCTGCTCTGCAGAATGGAAGCACTGGAGCTGACTTCAAGATTGTTCTGCGGTCACAAGCTGTCTGGTCGACTCTGTCTTTGGCGCACAGAAGAAAATGTGAGTTACTCGGAGCACACACTGATTTTGAAAAGTATGAAATACAATCCAAGAAAGTCAACCTAGTTTCATCTATAAATATGGACTTGATAGTAACTTTATATTGATTAATCCTTAAATGACTCTCGAGGGTGATTAACAAGAGAGAGCGATTCTATGGAGCAAATGGTTCTATAGACAGATAGATGACAACTCAAGGCCCATGTGGCAGGTTTTTGTGCTTCCTCGGGATCTATTTTATTATGATCAGCTACATTGGTAAGAATGGAAGAAAAACATGCAAGCCTGGGTCCACAAGGACTACTGGTGGTGTCTGAGTCACCGCAGAGTATATGCCTGCAAATCTGAGGTCCGGAATTAAAAGAAACCTGGCTTATTGCTTCTGTTGGAAGTGATTTTATAGACAGATTTAAGATTTTACAAGGATATTGTTTGGGGTTCTTTGTATTCATGAATTGTGATTTTATTATAATCAAGAAAATATTTAAAAAATCAAAATACATATTAAATTAATAAAGTTGAAGAGAGTGACTTATGTAGAAAGTTCACCGATGATGTCCAGTTATGAAAAAAGCTAGTTAAGGGCCTCTCTGGTGGCACAGGGGTTAAAAAGACAGCACTATCAATCTGTTACCAGCCACTGCAGCATGAGTTCAATCCCCTGCCAGGGAGCTACCCACATGGTGCAGCAGACCCCTCCTTTCTCCCCGCTGCTCCCCTCAGCAGTATATTTCATTCAATCTGCCTGTTCTGTTCCCCACACTGTCTCTGGTGAGTCCTCTCACCCTCCCACATCTCTGGTCTGTACCCCAGTTCTTGTATGCATAAATAAATAAATCTTTTTTTTTAAAGAAAAGCTAGTTAAGAGATGATATTAATGAATATTGAATACTGAAGTAAGCTTAGGAATAAATCACTCATGGAAGTTATCTCCAGCTAAGAATATTATAGATAATATGAATAACTACCAAGATTCATCTGATTTGGTGGGAATTTCAATGTTGTTTGTTTCTCTTAAGAAAAAAACTAAAATCCATAGTAATCTAAATTAAGATTGATCAGTAATCACTGAATAATGAAATGTAGGTACAAGGGTTAATAGAGAAATTATATCCATCATGTGGTCATCTGTTTTGTTCCCTGCTTTTAAGAATGGACACACTCAAGCTGACGTAAGCTCGTGCCGAGGTCCACTGTCTCTACATTTGCCTGTAGTGCATGGAAACCAACGTGAGTTATAATCAATGTTCTCATCTTACCTTGTGTGGCTTTTTCATAGGGTATTGTGATATTGTTAAATAGGTGTTCAATATAAGAAAAAAGACCATCCACTGTTCAGTGATTAAATTGGTAATGTATGAAGCACTGTGCTGATTGATCTATCTTTGCAGCAGTGAGGATGATTAATCAACGAGATACATTCAATTAGCTAATGATTCTAAAAAGTGATAGCAGTCTTGAAGGATCTTGTGATTCTTAGATATTTATTAAGTTGTTATTATTGAGTTGATGGATTAATGTAGAAGGAAGGAAGAGGCCCACGCCTGGACCAGTGATGACAGCTGATGGCAAACGAGTCTTCTACGATGATTGCTATGTGTCTGGAAGTCTGAGGTCCAACTCAAAAATAACCTTCTCTAGTTCCTCTCCTGCCAATGATCCTTTAGATAGATGTTAGGAATGTTCTTGTAAATTTGGAGTCAAGGATTTCTATATTATTAACATAAATGGATCAATAATAGAATCAATAAACAAATGCATACATAAGCAATAAAGAGGCTGAGTCCTTTGAACTGTGACTATATGTGATGAGGCCAGAAATCCTATTAAAATAGCCTGAAGAAGCCATTGCATGTTAAGAAATGCAAAGGTGTTACTTCTTTTCTAAAGGTTATGTCATTGTATTGAATTCATACTTATATAAGTGGATAAATGCTGACAATGAATAAATACCATTGAGACTGAGTAACTGAAGTGAGGGCAACAGGACCTATTAAGAACTCAGTGTTTAAAACTCTTTGCTCTGCTCGACTCCTCAGAATGGGCGCCCCCGGCTAACTCCTGCATCTCTTGTGTTCGTGTGGCCTGTGGTTCCTCTTGTGTAATGAGCGTAGAAACTAATGTGAGTAATCTTTACATGTCTTTGTTTGAGAATGTTTTTAAATCTTCACTGTGACCCTCCATGAATGATAAATATAGGATGGGTCCAAAGTATTATATTTTTAATCCTTCTATTAACATTGATGATAATTAGTGAGATACATCAATGTGGCAGGTGATACAAAAGGTTGACATGAATATTTATTGCCCTGTTCTTAGGTTTTTGTGAATCATATAATTAAAAAATAATCATTAGTGAATTCATCAGTGAAGTTAGGTGCCAGAGAATGAATAACAAGTGACCCATTCATGGACCAATGATGACAATTGGTGGCGCATGAGTCGCACGTGATGAACGTTATGTGTCTGAAACTCTGAGGTCCAATAAAAAATGAAGTAGAGTCACTCCAATTTGACATGGTATTAAAGACAGAAGAAAATAAAAGGACAATTTTCTCCATGTTCATAAATTTTGATTTACAGTAAAAAATGGCACAAAGAAAGAATCAATGAGTAAATATCACAGAGATCTGACAATTAGGACATGGCATTCCTACTCCTAATTTATATGGAGAGGCAACAAAAACTGTTGATTTAATTTAAAATAGTGAAGTTCATTAAGAAATGTAAATTAAGTGTTTTACCTCTTTGGCGGAGAGTGATGTAAATGTAGAATTCTTATTCTGGGTTAGTGCCAGCTTTGACTTGTTGGTTTTCTGAAGAGAAAAATAAGAAATACGACTCCAGTTTTCACTGTTCCTAGAGGACCGGCTAAATGAGCGAGGCCATGCACATCAGGAGAGTGTCTCAATCCTGTTATTATCTGCCCTGTCTTGTGTTCACCAGAATGGATAGACCTGAAGTGACGCAAACATTTGTGGGAGCTCCCTGGATGCCCAGTGTCTGAAAGCTTGGAGACCACAGTGAGTAATCAGTTCTTCTCTGAGTTTACATGGTTTGTAAAGGATAGTAAGTATAATGTTGAAAATCATGAAGTGAAATTGACATGGAACATTGTTAATGAATCAATATTTGCCACAGTGTGGATGTTTAGTGAAAGGCGAATGATTCCATAGAGGTGTGAGGGATACTTAATGATCTTGGCCTTGAGATTTTTGATGTATAGATATATTTTTTTAAAGATTTTTGTTTTTCATTTATGCAAGAGCTGGAGTACAGGCCAGAGGTGCAGGAGGGTGAGAGGATTCACCCGAGACAGAGTGGGGAGCAGAACAGGCAGAGGGACTGAAGACACTGCTGAGGGGAGCAGTGGGCAAGGCAGGAGAAGTCTGCCATGCCATGTGGGTATCTGCCTGGCCAGCCAGAAATTGAACCTGTGGACAGCTTCACAGCACTGCGCTTAACCCGCTGTGCCACTGGGGAGGCCCGATGTATAGATATTTATTTTACTATTATTAATGAATTGATAAATTGCTCGGTAAAAAAGTACATAGGTGAGAATGAACAGAAAGTGTCCCAAGCCTGGACTGGTGATGACAACTGGTGACATGTGAGTCATGTACAATGAGTAGCACGTGCGCAGAACTCAGTTTTGACATAAGGAAATGTAGTCCATTCCTTCAGGAACTTGCTCCTCTGTCACATGTTCAGACTATCCAAGGACCTTATTCTTATTCTTTGTGTTTATGAATTTGTAAAAATATCATTATAAATGCAGCAATGGCAAAATAGATGAACATATACTTGAAAACAGATGGAGAGGATTTAATATTCATTACTGTAAGCACCTGAGAAGATGTTTGTCATCTCTTGGTAGAGAAATGAAAATCAAAATAACATTGAGCTATCACATCACACCTGTGAGAATGGCTGTTACCCAGAGGACCATAAACAACAAGTGTCTCAGTCTTGTCGTGCTCTTTGCTTTGTGCTTTGCAGAGAAAACACCTGCGCTGATCCCCATACCCTCCACATCAGGCTCTCCATGGGTGTCCCTGTGCTCGGAAGCATTGTTCCCAGTGTGAGTGACCGTAAAAGCTTTAGTCTTGGTTGGGTGGTTGTTTAGGGTGTGACTGTAATAAAGTTACAAGCATGAAATAGAAGATAAATGACCAACTATATGGCCCAGTGGCTGATTGATCTTTCTTTACAAAGAAGATGATTAATCAAAGAGGTCTATTCAATTAGGTGAAATGATACTAAAGATAAATGACTGGGATACTGAGGCTCTTATTTATAGCTTTATAACTCATTATTTCATTATTATTAGTGGATCAACGAATTAACATGTTAGCAAATGTAACTGAGAAATATACCAGTGAAATATAATGGAGAATGACCAGGCCTGGACCAGTGATGACAGCTGATGGCAAACGAGTCTTCTACGATGATTGCTATGTGTCTGGAAGTCTGAGGTCCAGCTCAAAGTGAACCTAGTCTAGTTCATTCTTCTTTTGTGAGTGGTCCTATGGAGAGACGATTGGGTTATTGTTCTTTGGAGTTCAAAGATTTCTATATTAGTAACATAAATGGATGAATAATAGAACTGATAAACAAATAAATATGTAAAAAGAGCCCGAATCCTTATAAACTGTGAATACATGTGGTGAGGCCAGAAATACTGTTAATATAAACTGAAGCAGCCCACACATGTTAGGAAGTGTGACACTATTATGTCACCTCTTTCTCTGAGTCCTGTCACTGTATTTAATTTTTGTTTACATATGTGTATTAGTTGTGCAAAGAACTACACCTCTGAGTAAATTAAATGGGGGAAACAAAGACCAATTTAGAGAAGATCTCAATTTTTAAATTATCTGCTTTGTTCTATACTCCGCAGAATGGACTCAGTCAAGGTGACTCAAACATCCTTCCTGCCTGCAGCCTGTGACTGGGTCCACGTGTTCGCATCCTCGAGACCCATGTGAGTCATAGTCAAAGTTCTTGTCTAAGCACTAGTGTTTTTTTAAAAAGGGTATTCATTGAATCTTTAAAAAGTGTGAAATATAGAAGACCAGTTGTAGTTCAGTGATAAAATAGGACTATTGATATTGATTAATGCGCAGATGAAAAAATGTAATAATTAGCAAATGAAATACATTGATGATAAAATGATTCCATAAACTGATGAAGGATATTAAGGCTCTTCTTGGGTTTTTGTGGATAGTATAGTAAGATCTTAGAAATTATTGTTAGTAAATTAATGAATCAACTAATAGTTGATATAGACACAATCGAGGGAGTGCAGGGACCATATTGGATCGATGATGAGCCCTGGTGGCGTACGAGTCGGAATCGATGACTACGTGTGTGAATCTGAGGTCCAACAGATGAAATCTAGCCCATTGCCCTGTTTGAAGTTATGCGGTAGACGTTTGTCTAGAGGGATGAACCAGGGTATCAGGGATATACTAGGACCTTCTCTTTCTATTTTTGAATTGTATCAGTGATCAATAAACAAACATATAAAGAAAGATGAAAGTCATGAAACAGTGTCCAATAATCAAAATATGTCATGAGATATAGTCAAGCGTAGTGAAGCACTCCTAGCAGTAAGGAGATGGTACCGGAGTTACGCACTGGCTCACAGGCTGTGTTAAAGAGCGTGGGTGACTCTCACCTTCTGTATCAGTGGCAACACAGTGATAGTTTGTTTACTGAGGAGAGCTTATGAACAGTTGCCTGAGTGGATAATTCCCTAAGTGACGGCTGAATATAAGGCGGATGCAAGGTCCGGTGGAGATTAGGACTCAATCTTCGTTTCTTTCTTTTTTTCCTTTTCATTCTCCTGTGTGCTCCTCATGACTGTTCTCACGTTGATTCAAGGGCGTCCCACGGTTGTGGCTTGGTGGTTACCGCTGGCCGAGTGTGGAGAGCCGGGTGAGTACAGACCTAGTTGTTGTCTCAGCTTGGGGCTTTTATCAAAGGGTGTTTGCTGCACTATAAAAAAAGTGAATTATTTTCAGTGACCACGACCCATGTGCTCCAAGTACAATTAAGATGAACTTTAAAATATGGTTATATGGATAATTGCTAATCCATATTATGATTATCCATGTAATTATTAATGATGAATCCATATAGGAAACACTGAGGCTGATTAGTGAATGAGACAGGGGCCCGAGTGGAGTAATTCTACAGATTCCATAGCTGTTAGGTGATAAGTTAAAAGGTAAGACCAGGCAAGTGTGTTGACTGAGCTACACACATGACTCTGAGGCTGTTGACTGGAGCCATCAAGAGTATTCACTTGTGGAGAATGACTCTGCACACAGCTGCTAGGGAGAGTAAAGTTATTTAAAAATTTCATGGGAATGTTATTATTAGTGACATAATGCATTAATCTAAACAAAATTGGGGCCCAATAGAACATGGTGGAGGATTGTGGGGGCCCTGCTGGTGGGCAGGCTTGAAAGTCTACATTGCAGAGTTTGAACCCCAGGAGCAGATACAAAGATATAAACCTACTTTACCTTAATTGGCAAAAAAAAAAAAATTGGGAGTTATCAAAAGAAAAAAAGAGTTACTATAGATTAAAAATCGGTAAAAAATTTTAGGTAAATTAAATTATAATTAAATGAAGAAAAGGAAGATGAAATCTGGATCAATATTGGGGGCAGGTGACATATAACTCAAGTATAAGTGATACTAATCTAGAATTTCCAGCACAAAAAGAAATGTAGTCTGTTGCTTTTGGTACAAATGGCCATGTAAATGGGCTTTGCAAGGGTCTTAGCCTTGGGCTTTTGAGTCATAGGTACTGATTAACTATAAGTTCAATGAGATAATAACCAATCACATATGTGAGAAGTAGGCTGAAATGTGGAATGGCTGTAGCAGATTCAATGAAACAAACATCATTACAACTAATTTCTGAAGAACTGAAGTCTGTTAAGGCCCCATAGCTTTCATCCCTTAGCATAAGGGCCATGGAGAGAGCCATGAAATTGTCAACACTCATGTTGTATGACGGTATTCTATTCTTTTAATCAAGAAATGGCAAAACCATTTTTATATAATTTAATCAACTAACTATGCAAAGAGGCTGAGCATGAGCCAGTAACACAAATGCCTCGTATGGCAGCTGATGGCTTTGCCGCATCCCCTGTGTGATGATCCCAGTGTGTGTGTGAGTCACTTCACCCCTGTGTGCGTCAGACACACGCAGTGCACTTCTCAGTTATTCCTCAATAAAGTTGCAAAAGAAAGTCGATAGTCCCTTGACCATTAGGACAGGAAACACCTGGGCACAGTTACTATTCATCACTGTGATTGTCAAGCTTGTAATCAAATTTACTGATTTCATCACTGCAAGTTAACAAATAAATTAATAACTTGATGAAAGGGGACAGAGCACCTGGCTAGTGGTGCGGATGTGCTGAAACATGATTTGTAAGTTCCACTCCTGTTCTGTGCGTCCTAAGAGAAAAATCAGCCCTTACCAGTCTGAGCAGGGGACACTGGACAGAATACAAATAGCATTTCCCTTCTGGTTTTCTGGGAAGTTGAGTATTTTTTTATTTCGTTTACAATGAATAATTTGATATGAATTAAAACTTATGATATGATATGAATTAAACTTATGATATGAATTAAACTTATATGAATTAAAAATGAATAGAAATCAAAGCTGTTGGTAAATAAATGTGTATCTACATAATTCAAACACCAATTACAGATCGATGATAAAGATGTTATGCAGCAAGCTTTTGTAATTAAGCTCAGTATAATTAAAAGGCTTGAAATTTTTTCTTCCCTTTCATAGCTGCTTTTTCCATATTAGGTTTGCACTCACTGTACATATTTTCCAGGGCCAGACTTACGCTGGTCATTCAGTGGACACCCCCAAGGGAGAAGTCAGCTGTTTCCAGTGTCTGGATGTGGGTGGATGGTAGCTTTGCGCTTGTCGTTGCAAAGCTTTAATGAATGGACATGCGACGCGAACGCACCGTGCTGGGGAGGGTGTGAGGGGCGGTGTCCTGCACTTGTAGGATTAACTCATTTCTGCATTAGCAAGTGCGGGTCAAAAGGGGACTTGGTCTGTTATGTCTATGGGAATGAAGCCTTAGTCAACTTCAGTGATTTTTGAGAACTTAATTAATTATAGGTTCCTGGGGCTTGCATGGAAAGGGAATGAGAAGGGAATGATAAAAGGGTGTGTGTGTGTGTGTGTGTGTGTGTGTGTGTGTGTGTGTGTGTGTGTAGAGAGACAGAGAGAGAGAGAGACAGAGAGAGTAAGGGGGAGGAAGGGAGGGAGGGAGAGAAAGAGACACAGAGAGAGGAGAGAAGGAGGAGACAGAGGGAAAGAGGGCTGGATGAATTAAGACAGGTCTGTTAGCAGGTTTCCTGTACAACTCTGAAGTGGGCATTGTGCTACCAATAGGTCAAAGGTACTGCCTGGGCCACACAGGGCAGTGGCTCTCGACTCGACCCAGCACCAGAGGCTCCTGGCAGGGTGTGCTCGCAGCACCCCTGGCCCAGCGAGGCAGCTGGGGGCCCAGGCGTCTGCACTGTGTGCCCAGCCCTGCTCCCGCGGCCGTGGGCGCCATCTTGGAGAGTCCCTGACAGCCCGGGAGCGGCTCGGAGCGGCCCCGCCCTTGCCCTGGGCCAGTCGTGGTTTCCAGCCTGTTCGTTTTACTGAGAAAAACAGGGTAACAAATATAATCATCAATAACTATCAAAAAGCCTAGCTGAAAGTATAGACCACGGGTCAGTGGAGATCAAATCTCCTGATTTTAGCATCTTCGAGCTCCACAAGATGGACGCCCCGCGCTGAGCGAGCATTTTACAGAGTGACGCGTCTGGGCCCCGGATGGGCGGGAGTCGAGGGCCGCGTGAGCGGGCGGGGTCTAGAGGGGCGAAGTCCAGCGGGGACTGGGCTGACAGGAAGAACAGACGGTCACACCTGGTTTGATTTACTCGAAGATTTTAAAAACAGGTTAATAATGTCATTTACTTTGTGACTGTATTTCCGTTCTAGGTTCCCTGCCGGTTCCTGAGTTCGAGGAGGAGGCTGTTTCCCCGGGAGGAAGGAGCCGGAGGAGGGTAGGTGCTGCGGGGCAGCCGGGAGGGGGCGCTCGCGCTGTCGGGGCCTGGACCCGTGATGCCGTGGAATGCATTCTGAGACGTGTGTCGTGATCACAGCGGCTACGACCCTCTGAGGTCCACTCGAGAAAGGCTTTGCAGAGCTTGTACCGTGGGGATGAGCCTCTGGTGTATCTAGCAATGCACAGGGCTCAGCTCTCGTATCTGATGCTTCATGGATTTTCATTATGTTATTATGGAGTGAGGGGGACTGTAGAATAAACAAATGTGTCAGGGTATGAAGATGAAAGGGTGGAGCATTTCCAAGTATGAGAGTATACGGAGAGGCAAGAATCATCATGAAAATGACTTGGAAGCCCTGTTATTCATTAAGTGTACTACAGGGTCAGGGGGTGCAGTTTAGAATTGGGGTGATGATGGATGGTGATGGGGAGTAGTGCATCAGGGGTGTGTTTGAGTGTTATTTTTACTTAAGAAAAAAAGAAAAATTGCAGCGTAAAATACAGCTAAGTGACTAAGAGAATGGAATGAGGACAGCGCATCCATGCCAGAGCACCTCATTCTGTTAATGTCTTCACTGCTTCTACGCAGAGTGACGTCTTGCTGATGCCAGGCGGCCAGCGTGCCATGACCCTGAGTCCGGAGCAGTGTAGCGGTGAGTGGGGGTTGTGACACTAATGCCCCAGGCTTGGTGTGGGTGCTTTGTTTAGGAGACCCACGGATTGGTAAAAACGTGTTGAGTATAATCCTGGAAGCCAGTTGTGGGGATCTCGTGTGACGTATGTGCCTTGATGGGTACCTGATCCATGACAGCTGTGCTCACTGGGGCAAGTTATTCTGTAGACAGATTTGGGGATATTCGAGAACCTTTTTCTTGCTTTTCCATGATGCATGTAAGTTTATTTTATTATTATCAGTTGAAAAGTTAAAAATCAACACACTTGCCAATCCCTAATCAGTGGTGGACAACAGTGTCAGGCGTCCAGGGACTGCCCAAATAGGGGCCGCCTGTGGTCTGGCTGAAGTGGTCCTCTGGATGGACTCAGGTTACATGAATAACTTATTTTTGACTCATGAATTTTTATTGTATTAATTTGAAAAAAATCATAACAAAGGCTACACAGTTACATAAATGATAAAAATGAAGAGAGGGAAGCATTGTCCAGTTATAAAAGTATCAGATGAGGCAAGAAATACTCTTACTATGGCTTTGAAATACTAATGTCCATTAAGAGAGGAAAGGATCAGGTAGGTCTGTCTTTAGCTGGCTGTCGTGTAGACAGGGGAGGAGCGGCTGTGTCCCTGCCGTGGGCCAGTTGTGAGTTCCATGTTTATCTTTATTTTGGAGCTGAGACAACAGTTATTACCACTAATTAGTAGATATTTATTTATTTATTGTAAAGATTTATTTTATTATGCATATTAGAACTGGGGTACAGGCCAGAGGTGGGGGTTGAGAGGATTCACCAGAGACAGAGTGGGGAACAGAACAGGTGGACTGACTGAAATACACTGCTGAGGGGAGCAGCGGGCAAGTCAGGAGAGGTCTGCTGCACTCTGGGTAGCTCCTTGGCTGGCCAGGCATTGATCTTGTGCTGCAGAGGCTGTGGACAGCTGCATAGGCTGTGTCTTAACCCCTTTGCGCCACCAGGGAGTCCCTAATAAATATTTAAATGAATAAGAAAATGGAAGGTGGAATGCCGTCATCAATGGGGAGATGTCTCAGTCTTTAGCACCTGCTCTGCTGTGCTCCTCAGGGTGTGTGCTGTGCTCCATAGGTGGTCGCTGTGCTCATCAGGTGGGCACTTGCTGCTGTGGAAGGCCCCGTGGTGGCCCGTGATCATAGCTTTGTGGTTTGCCTCGACGTGTATGGCCACCATGAGTGGCAGGTAGGTGTCAGGTGGTTGGTTTACTGGAATTCACTGAGGAAGAGCCTGTGAAACACAATCAGGAGCCACCCACAGCCTGATAACGAGGGTGGTGACATTGACGCTGAGGTCAGATAGAGACAGAGCCAGTCTCTGGGAAGTAATTCTATAAACAGAGGTCAAGCATTCTCGAGAAACTGCTTGGATTTTTGTAATTCATGTGAGTTCATTTTGTTATTTGCAAATTATTAAATTAATCTAAACAAATAAGAAATGAGGGAAAAGCATGGGCTGGTGATGGTGGCTGGTTCACACATGCCTCCCACTGGCGGACACTCTTGTACACCTGGACGCTGAGTCCAGTGCTGCCAGGGCCTGGGACATTCTGCCTGTCTACAGTGTTGTAGACATCTGTCAGGCATGTACCAAGATCTTTTTCTTGGACTGGTGGCATGGATTTTTAAAAATATTATTATAAAGTGATACTATTGGATAAAGATGGAGAATGAAGCATTATTTATTGTTTAAAAATATGTCATCAATAAAATTAATATTAAAATAACCTGGAATGAATAACAAGTGGACTGATTGGATGATATGCATTGACTAAGGATACTAGAGTGATAAATAATAATCAGTTATTGACAAACTGGATGTTTGTTTCATAAAGTGGAAAGGAAATATTACTATCAATGAGCAAATACCTGAATGACCTTATCATGGTGGAAACTGCAGATTAATGGAGAGAATGTCTCTATCTTTTTATCATTTCCTATGGTTTTTGTTCCTTCAAAATAAAGGCTGGAGCGGACTCTAGCTTCTGCCCTAAGAAGGATGTCTGTTTGTCTGTGTGGGGAAGACCAGGTGAGTAAATGGTCAAGATCTTGTCTTGTTTGGGTAATTTAAGTTTACACATGCTGTTATAAAATTAAACTAATAAGAAATTAACCATTGCCCAATAATAAATATGATTAACAGTATAAGACACGAGATCTCTTATCAGAAGAGATGCAGTGAATTGGGACGTGATTGTGTAGATGGGTGGCAGGGTTATTCAACTCGTTCTTGGGTATTTCTTGGGAATCATATATTTATCTCATTGTTATCAAAGAATTAATGATTTAGGGCCTCCCTGGTGGCGCAGAGGTTAAGTCTCAGCACTATGAAGCTATCCGCAGCCACTGCGGTCTGAGTTCGATCCCCGGCCAGGGACCTGACCCACAGGGCAAAGCAGACCTCTCCTGTCTCCCTGCTGTTCCCCTCAGCAGTGTATTTCAGTGGTTCTGCCTGCTCTGCTCCCCACTCTGTCTCTGGTGAGTCCTCTCACCCCCTGCACCTCTGGCCTGCACCCCAGCTCTTGTATGCATAAATAAATAAATCTTAAAAAAAGAATTAATGATTTAATTGATATAAATGTAGACATGTGGGCCAGTGATTGAGTGCTGACGTATGCATCAGCAATGGTGACAATCCATGTGTGAGATTGAGAATCAAAACAAAAACTAACCCCTCCTTTGGAAATGAGCTTTGAGATAGATTTCAGGGTTATAGAAAGATCCTGCTCTTATTTTAGAGTCATGTACTTGAATTTATTATTAGTGGATCGATGACAGAACAGTTAGAGAAAGAGAAGTAAAGAGGAATCATAGCATTGCCAAGCCATGACCTACGAGGCTAGGCAAGAGAGGTTGATAATAAGATCTGAAACCATGATGCCCATTAAGAAACTAAATGCATCCAGGGTGTCACCTCTTCAGTTAAGGATCATGTAGACACAAGCAATTAAGAGTCAGTGTTATTATTCTGTGTCAGTTCCAAGTTTGAGGTGGTTTTCTTTGTTAATGGAAATTTATAAGTCATGAAGGATTAGTAAGTACCAAAGAAACTCAGTGAGTGAAATGTGTAAGGAAGGTTCCAGTGGGAATTAGGTTTCATTATTATTTTTTTTTTCACCTGCTCTGCTTGGTCCAGCTGGAATGGATGCACCCCAGGTGGTTTCCACTCCGTCCATTGCCAATTGATGTTGCTCTGTGCTAGGAACATGGAGATCATGTGAGTAACAGGCAACATTCTTTTCTGGCTTGGGTGGTTGAAGGCTTTGCAGTATGAGTAGTGTGAACCAATAACTTAGAGAGAAGGCATGGCCACGCCGGACCAGTGATGATGACTGTGGTGTTTGAATCACGCGTGATAACTCTCATGTGTCTGAAACTCTGAGGTCCATCAGCTAAAATCTAGCGCCTGCTCTTTTGCAGGCTGCTGCAGCTGGAAGTCAGGGTAGTGCCAGGGTCTTGGTCCTTGTGTTCCTGTGTCCTGTTATCATTAGAGTAATGAAATAAATAAATATATGCTAAGATTAATGGGGTGAAGTATTATCCAATTAGGAATATGTGCAGTGAGGTAGGAAATGCTAATAATAGATATTAAAAGTTGTACAAAGAGCAATCCATGTACATGGTGGCTGAATTGGAGATGACATACACAATAGTAATAGTCCATATTCATTTTCTGGGTTAGGAAAAATTTCTAGTTGTTCATTTCCTTGAAAGAAAATTTTAAAAAGGTACTTGAAATTATTGATTGCCAAACTCTCTGGAAAATGAAGCCAGAATGCCAGGAACATGGAGATTAGGGCTCCATGTTTTATCCTCTGCTCTGCTCTGTACTCCTCAGGATGGACCCCCTCAGGATGGACACCCTCAGGTTGACCTGAGTGTCTTCCGTGGTCCTAATCCCTGTGGTTGTATCCATGGAGACCATGTGAGTACTAGTCATATTTCTTGTCTTGGATTGAGTGTTTTTTTACTTTCAATCCATTAACTGTATTATTAAAAATTACTAAAAATAATCAAGGGAGCCCCAACATGCCAGTATCCAATATCATTGATGTGAAGCAATGTGATGTTTTAGTCCCTATGTGACTAACTGAGTTCCATTCGTGAGTTTGCTCAGTAGAAAAACTTGCATGGATGGATGCCAGAGATATTGGAGGATGTTATTTAGGAGTTTTTGTCATGCTTATTTCTGTGCTAGTGAATTAACCAGTATACACCTGTAGATGACAAAAGGAAAAGACTCACTCCAGGACCAGAGGTGATGGCGGATGGCGTGTGAGTCCCATGTGGTGAATGCCATGGGCTGAAACGCTGAGGCCGACACAAGTGGCATCTAGACTGTTCCTCCTGTAAGTCAGATGTCAGGAATCTGCAAGGATCCTCTTCTTGATCTGAGTGCTCATGAGTGTTAAATCTTCTTTAGAAAAGCATGAGGGGTGGAATTAATTAAAATTTATAAATATGAATATAAAATATAGATTACATGTAATTATATAGATATGTGTGTAAGATTAGTATTATATATTATATGTTAAGATAATAGTGTTATATATTATATATGTAGATTTATATATAATTAAAATGTATGAATTAAATTGGTATGTGTAAATATATAACATACATTGCATGTTATTACAATTATAAAAGCATTGTAAGAAAAATGAATTGTCATAGAAATTGAAAGGGTTAATAAATGTACAAATAGACTATATTTTTGACTAAGAGTAACAAAAGCAGTAATAGTTATATTTCTTAGTGAGTTGCAAGTTTGAAGTTTCCGTTATTAAGAGAAAAATAAACATTACACAGACCAGCAGGCCTCTATGTGATGGTGGGATCGTGAGAGATTGAGAGAAACACTGAAATCTCTGTCTCCAAAAAGTGCCAATTTAGCCAGAAGTTAGCCACGTCCCAGGTAATAAGTGTGATAGGAATTTATGCTGGTTGGTGGAGAATGTGCTGACTTCTCACCAATTCATGAAAAGATCGTGTCTGTGTGGGAAGTAAATGGTTTTATAGACAGTTGTTAGGGCTGGTTAGGGACCCTGTTCTTTGTTTCTGTGAATCATATATTGTCATTAGTGAGTTCATGGCTAGCTGGCAAGATACAGAAAGGGATAACCCAAAAAAGGCCCAAGCACGGGCCGCGGCTCACACTGTTGTCAGTGAATCGGGGGTGGTGAGTGAGATGAGGCCTGCGGAAAACACAAAACATAGCTGATGTTTTTATTGGGAATGACCCTATAAATGAATGCTAGGCACATAGATCATATTCTAATCTGAAGTTCATAGGTTTAGATTTTTTATTATTAGTGGATATATGATAGAACCATTAAATAAATATTGAAAGACATATTAAGAAGAGTAGGGTGACTCATTCTCCAAATTTGAACATAGATGGTGAGGAAAGAGATATCATTTATAAAAATAGAAAACACTGAGGTTCATTGAGAAATGAATGGGTTGAGGGTGTTATCTCTGATGAAGGATTATTGGCGCAGAGAAGTTTTGTTGTTCGGAGTCAGTTTCTTTTGTAAGGGGAAAAATGTACATTTGATGAAAAAATTATCAACTACTTAAAAGAGGAATAAAATGTGGGCTGTGAGGATCAAAGGGGAAAATGTCTTATTTTTGCTTTTTTCCGTCCTCTGCTCTGCTTTGTACTCCCAATATGGATGCATTGGAATTGATTAAGCGCCTTCCATGGTCTGCACTGGTTTCTTCTATCTGCTAGCAGCACGGAGGCCGTGTGAGTACTAGTCAAAGCAATGGCTTAATTTGGGTGTTTGACATAAGAGCATTATTCAATTTAAGTTTATTATGAAAGAGTGTTTAACATAATCAGATTATACTAAATTTAGCCCAGTGACTAATATGGGATTAGTAGGAAGCATTGCACTGATTCTTACATAGATGAAGATAACTGAGGAGCATGATTCTAGATACTAATAATTAGGGCCATCAGGTCTATTCTTGGATTTTGTGAATCATAAGCTTTTAAGATTATTTTTATTAAATTGCAGAATTAATCAATAGTGACAATAATTAATCAATAATAACAAATGAATGATGACAGAATCGCATCCCTGGACCAGTGCTGGTCACTGCTGGCATGGGGGTCACCGATGACGAACAGTAAGTGTCTAGGCTTGGAGGGCCAACGGACTCCTAGTGTGGTCTTTCTCTTCATGTGTTGTTACCTATTATTATAACTGGGTCAATGAAAACATCATTAAACAAATATGTAAGTGAATAAGTATTCATGTCTTTTAATTCAACATTGTCCGAGTATAAAAATATGTGGGGGACAGTAATAGAGTTAATATATATCAAAATGCTGATGCCCAAAGAGAACAGTCCCTCTCGGGCTCAGCCATGTGGGCAGTGCTTGTAGGCAGGGCTGGTATTCTGTGTGAGTAGCAAGTTCAGAGCTGGTCATTTTCTTAAGAGAAAATGAAGTATTATGCTCCATTTTGGTTGCCTGAACTCCTGACAAAATGAGCGGAAGAAAGCACGGGTCGGGGTAGAATGTCTGATTCTATGGTCTTCGGCTCTGCCCTGTCCTCCTCTGAATGGACTCACTTATGCTCATTGAAGCATCTTCATGGTCAAGAGTAATCTGGCTGCATCTGTGTTTTAGGAGCGCGGAGCGTGTGAGAGCCAGCCAGTGTGCTGCTGTGACTGCAGCGCTCCAGAAAGGCTATTCCCTGAATGAGGGAGGAGAGTCCCTGTGGTGAGGACATGTCAGGTGGACATGGATCGTCACAGCGAGTGATTATGTAGGACTCCGGGTGCCATGCTGGAGGGCATGGTGTGGTGACATGCTGCCGAGGAGCTGAGGGGTGGCCATGTCACACACCATGTGGTGCGCCAGGGTGACCCATGACAAGATTAGTTGCAATGATGTAGAAACAATTACCTGAAACATTGAGATCAGTTAGAGAAAAAGTTTTAGTCTCTGTTGAAGTGAATTTGTAGATGGATATGAGTGCCTCTCAATGGGATGCCTCTATTTTCCGTGTATTGTGTGTATTTACTAACAGATTATTTATTACAGACACTAAAGATGGAGGAAATTAATGGTACAAACCTGTTTCCTCTTTTTGCCATATTGTGTAATAGTTAAAGTTCCTATTCTGTGTCAATGGCGATCTGAATATTGTTCATTAATGTATGAGAAATTAAGTTGGCGTAATCGCCTAGTACTACTTAGGGAAGTGGAGATAGAATTAAGGACCAATGGCAAGCATGTCTCTACCTTGTTTTTTATATTTTGTTAGGTCCTGCAATTTTGGGTGGTAGAATATATATTCTTTACTTTGCACAAAACAGATTTATTTATTTTTGTGAATGTATTCTCTTAATTTTGATAACATCAGTATCTTCCCCGTCAGGTATCACCTCCATAGGGTACCCTCTACCAGGTCACCCACAGTCCACCACCTTAGTCCACTGTGATTCCTTCCCTCTTTACACCTCCCCCTCCCCTAACCCTCTCTCCTTCTGGAGGCTTCAGTTCTATCATCAGCTTTCAAGGTTATGTTTTAAATATGTCTTCTGATTCTTGGTTTGGTTTCTCTATATGCTGTGTATTAGTGACATTTGTCTTCCTCCTTCTGCCTAATTCCACTTAATGTTATCCCTTCCAACTCCATCCACGTTGCTGTAAATGGCATTAGTTTATCTTTTTGATGGCTGAGTAATTTTCCATTGTGTATATATACCACAGAGCAGTACCATTTATGATAACTAAGATATGGAAACCACCTTTGTGCCCCCCAAAAGATGAGAGGATCAGAATCCACCCTATTTTTGTCATGCCTTTCCCTGTATTTCACAGAAGGGGCATATCCATTGGTTTAAACATCTTCCAAGGTCACTAGCTCCATGGTCACACCTCTGCTTTAGGAACATGGAGACCAATGTGAGCTGTCACTCTTCTTCTTGTTTTGACTTTAAAAAAAAAAGATGTATTTATTTTTTCATACAAGAACTGAGATACAGGCCAGAGGTGCAGGGCGTGAGAGGATTTACCAGAGACAGAGTAGGGAGCAAAACAGGCAGAGTGAGTGAAATACACTGCTGAGGGGAACAGTGGGAAGCTGGGGAGAGCTCTTCTACGCCATGTGGGTAGCTCCCTGGCGGGGAATCGAACTCGTGCTGCAGTGGCTGCAGATAGCTTCATTGGTTGCATCTTAACCACTTGCACCACCAAGGAGGCCCTTGTTTTGACTATTTTTTACAAAAAGTTTTTACTGTAGTATCAAGCAGTATTAAAAGTAATCAGAGAAGGTGAGGCATGCCAGGTTGAACACCAGAACAATATGAACTATTACATTTAATTATTAAATATATACAGACACTGAGTTCAGTTAATTGAGGAATTTGGTCTTAATGGAAGTGATTGGATGGATGTTAGAATAGTCAAAAATCCTGTTCTTCTTTTTGGCGATTTATGTCCATTTCTTTATTAATGAATAAACAATGAACTCGTGTCGGTGATAACAGAAAGAGGCCCGCCTGGACTAACAGTGGCCACTTTGAGTTCTGTATGATGAATCTGTGCCTCTAGTCTATTCCCTTGTTATGAACCTATGGAAAGATGTCAGGAGTGTGCCAGCGTCTCGTTCTTGATCTTAAAATATTATAGAAGTGTCAGTGGCAGAATAAACAAATGCACAAATGAATAAAGATAGAGAGGGAGGCTTTGCTCCTCACTAGAATATATAGTAAGGAAAAGCAATCTCAGTATTAATTGTAATGGGTAAAGGAAGGACCAAAGGCGGAGTGGATCGTGTATTTGACTCACGGTGACATAGACAGTGACGGGCGGTAGTTACTGTCCTTAGCGATAATTATGAAGTTTATTAAGAGAAAGGCAAATAAATATAACCTTAAATGAATAAATGCCTAATTTATTAATCCATGAGTAGTTCATGTATTACATTATGTTCCTACATATACATCCTGTATGTCCATACATATGTACACATACTTACACTACATGCACACCACACACTGCATGTGCATAATGACGTGGGCGAAAGGGCAAGTGCCATGCGGAGTGGTGGGGCCACGGAGATGCTGTCCCGGTCTCCATCATCTTGTCTGCTTGGAGTCTTCAGGTTGGAAGCTCTCGGCCAATTTCCCCTTGTGCGGGTGCTAAGGGTGTGTTATCTCAGGTTATAAAGGAGACCAAGATGAATGACACTCAGAGATCTTATTTTAATTTCATTGGTTTGTTTAAGAATGTTCATGTTCACTAGCTTGGCACCCAGGTCCTGTGGTATAATATTTCAAATTTGTACTCCCAGATGGTAGCATTGCCTGTGACCTATCAATATAAAATAAGTTCTGGTGTAGCCTTGTGCCTGCAATTGCTATTTCTCTGTGGAATGGCTGGCTCTGTCTGTCTTCCCAAAGTCACACCCAGTGTACAAATTTTCTAATTGCTGCATAAGGCACCATTTTTATTTTATGAATTATTTTTTAAATAAACCTCTTTCCTAGAAAAAAAAAAGAATGTTCATGTTACTATTAAAAAGTAAAGAATATAATAAAAATTAACTGTGGCACAATGACAAGTATAATATGATTAGGACTCAGTGTCTTTTCTCCTCTACTCTGTTCCACACTCCGCAGAACGGACGTGTCTGAACTGACTTGGGCAGGATCCCCGGCTCAGCTTTGTCACCTCCACTTTACAGGAGCAGGGAAGACCGACGTGAGTCCTACCTGATATGCTTTTTTTTTTTTTTAAGGGGAGTTACGATATTTTAAGAAAGTATGAAATATAAAGGAGACATCTCTATCTCTCTGTGTTAATTCTGGGCTATATGAAACATTATATGATTGATGCACACATGAAAAGTAGGAAATTAACAAAAGAGATATTGATGTAAAACATTCTATATACAGATTCAGGACATGAAGGCTCTTCTTCACCTTTTAAACATTGTTCTGTTTAAAATTGTTATTAGTGACAATGAGTCAATCAATAGGAAATAGACAGGAATGGAGGCAAAGGGATGATACTGGATCGATGATGAATTTTGGTCATCATGATGACTATTCGATGAATACACGTGAAAATCTGAGGTCCAACAGGAGAGAGTCTGGTGCCTTCCTTCCATGACAGAGATCTCACAGTCAGGGGCCAGGAGTGTGTGAGGTTCTTGGTTTTGATTTTGTGTTTTGTGTTCATGCAGTTTCATTGTATTTTTATAATTGGATATATGAGAGAATAATTAAATACATAAGTAAATAAAGAGGAAGATAGTGAAGCATTATCCAATTATAAAAATATGTGATGACTCACTGCTATTAATGTATTGTGAAATCCCTGCAGTTCAATTAGGAATAAATCATATATGACCGTTACCTCTTAAGCTAAAGATGATGTAGACACAGAGGTCAGTGTTGAGACTTTTTTTTAAAGATTTATTTTTATATGGGTCTCCCTGGTGGCGCAGGGGTTTATATCTCAGCACTATTTAGCTATTGCCAGCCGCTACGGCCTGAGCTATATCCCCCGCCAGGGAGCTGACCCACATGGTGCAGCAGACCTCTTCTGTCTCCCCGCTGCTCCCCTCAGCAGTGTATTTCAGTAGATCCACCTGTTATGTTCCCCACTCTGTCTCCCATGAATCCTCTTACCCCCCGCTTCCCCCCACACTTCTGGCCTAAATTTTTATTTATTTATGCATACAAGAACTGGGGTGTAGGCGGATCTACTGAAATCCATTGCTGAGGGGAGCAGTGGGTGAGACAGGAGGTCTGCTGTGCCCTTTGGGGCAGCTCCCTGGCCAGGCATTGAGCTCAGCCTGCAGTGGCTGGCAATAGCTTGATAGTGCTGAGACTTTAATCCCTGCTCCACCAGGGAGGCCACACTGTTGAGATTTGGGGCAAGATCAAAGTTGTTCATTTTCTTAAGAGACAGACATATTCAACATATTAGATGTTGAATACATAACTGTGAATGTTGACGCACAGAGATCATTGGAGAGAATGTCTGAGCCATTTTTCCTCTGTTTTGCCTTTTACTCCTTAGAACAAATCACTGCACCTGATTTCAGGGCTCCCTCTAGAAATGCATCAGCTCTGAGTGTTGCTTCTCCGTTACAGCTGCCTGGAGACCAGTGTGAGCATAATCAAATTTCTTGTCGTGGTTTGGGTGGTTTTTCTAAATGTACTCACTGTATTAAAATGTTCAAAATATAAGCAAGGAATGTCATCTTTATTCTGTTGATGACTAGAAGATTAATTCACTAATAACCATTATATCGATGAATGTATATTTGAATAAATAATCATAATGATGGCAGAGAGATAATCATGTGAGAATGGTTCTACAATTATTTTAGGAATATTGAAGCCTTGTTTATTTTTATGAATTATATCATTTTACAATTATAATTAGTGAATTAATCAACAAACAGTATGTAAATGGGTGCAGAGAAGGTGGTCTTTCTGGATCGATGATGACAACTGCCGGCGTATGAGTCATGGATCATGAATGGCACGTGTCTGGAACTCTGAGGTCCAACTTCAAAGACGTGGGCTTTCTCTTCATGCATTTTCACTTCTTATTACAATGGAACTAGTAACAGACTCAGTCGACAAATTTCTGGACCAATGGAGAGAAAAATCTCAATCTTTCTATTACCTCTTCTGTTTTAACTTTCAGAACTGCAGCTTGAGGTGATGTCCGCCTGCCTGGGACCAAGGAGCATCGTGTGCATTGTTCCAGTGAAGACACCAAGGTGGGTAAGAGGCAGAGCTCTTAGTTTGGCTGGGGTCATCTGCTTAGGGTTCTCATGGTATTATTAAAAAGAAATAAATATAATTTTATAAGCATAGCTACTGCCTGATGATCAGTCGGACAGACACTGTAGATTATTGATACATTGAGACTGATAAATGAAAGTGGCATAATTTATCTTGGCAATGAGTCTGCAGATAGATGTTATAGATATTCAAGTACCTTGTCCCTTGGTTTTCATTAGTACTATGTTTACTTCATTGTTTTCATGACTTTCTGATTGATTTGATTCAAATGTAGAAATGAATGAAAAAAAGTAGGTCTCTAATAACCAATGATGATAAGTGGTGGTAGAGGTCATTGGTGAATTACTGATTAAAATGATATTATAGTGAAAAAAATTTTATTAATAAAATTAAAAACACTGATTACCAGTAAGAAATAAATGGTGTTACTCCATTGACTAAAGATAATGTATACAAATCATTGACAATACGTGTTTTTGTTGTTCTGATCATTCTAAAATTTGACATTGTTCCGTTGGTTAAGAGAAAAAAAAGCTGACGTTAAAATTTAATAAAATGCTTAAATGAATAATTGAAATGTGGAAGTACTTGATGGACATAGCTCAGTTTTTCTGTGTCCCATCAGTGGCCCTCAGCACAGACAGCGTGAGCCGACACTGCACACTTTGTGGTGAGGACGTCTGTGAGTGCATCTGAGCTTGTAGCACAGAGACCAATGTGAGTAATAGTTAAACTTTAGGTCTTGGTTTCAGGGACATTTTTTAGGATATTGAGTATATGTTTTTAAAAGTGCCCTATAGAGTCAAACTTTTGTATCCCAATGATAAATATTGAATCAATATGAAATGTTATATTGGTTACTATATACAGTTTAAAATAATGAAAGATTGCTATAAGAGTGAATCTATTTATAGATGAGGGATATCATGACTCTTCTTGGGTCTTTGTGATAAATAGTTATTGGATTATTAGTGAGTCAGTAAGCAGTGTTGAGATGAATTCAGATCATGAGGGACCTTACTGGATCGATGATGAGCCCTGGTGGCGTACGAGTCGGATACGATGACTACGTGTGAAATCTGAGGTCCAGCATGAAAGTGGTCTCGCTTATCCCTTTTGCTTGACGTGATCCTATAGCCAGACATAAGGAAAATAGAAAGAGCTTTTGTTTGATCTTCTTATTTTATAATTGGATCAATGAAATAATAAATATAAAAATAAAGATGAAGGTGGTGAAATATTGACGAATTATAAAGATAATGTGGTTTGGTTAAGAATAGTATTAATGTATATTTAAGGCACTGATCAATAGCTGACTGACTAAATGAAAGGTGGGATGCAATGACCTCTGAACAGAATACTCAGCTTGTTGTCCTCTGCTCTGTTTCATACTCCTTAGAGTGATCACCTCAAGCTGATGGAATGTTCCTCCTTGGTCATGACCTTGACAGTTGCCTCTGTGTATTAGGACCATGGAAACTCATGTGAGTAACAGTAAACCTTTTATCAGTTTTGTGGTTTTGAAAAAGGTTTCAGTACATTACTTAAAAGTATAAGATGTAAGCAACAATCATCAGAGCTTGAGAATAGTAACAATGGGGTTCCTGGGAAGTAGTATGTAGTTAATTGGTGCAACATTGCAGTCAGTAACTGAGTGGAATGTAGGCAGTGAAAAGTAATTCTAGAGACAATTATTTGAGATATTCAAATATCTTTTGAGGTTTTGAGATCTGTAGAGGCTTTATTTTTTTAATGAACTGATAGATTAATCAATAAAAACATTGACATTAAGATAAAGAAGGTTACTCTGGAATCAGTTATGATTTGTGTCGTATGAGTCTTGGAGAGGAATTCTACAGGTCTGGCGTTTTGAGGTCCCACACGAAAGAAATGCGTTTCCCCCCACTGAGTTGGTTCTATAGAGGAATTAGGCATAGGTGAGAGTCGTGTTCTTGGCATTTGGACACATGAACATGAGGCCCAATGGACTGTGGTGGAGGACTGTGGGGCTTTGGTGGTGGGTGTGGCGTGGTAATGTACATCCAAAGAGGCACGAACCTGTACCTCTAAATCACATACGCTATTGTAAACCAACCTTAGCGCAAGAAAAAAATAATACAATAAAAGCATAAAGAATCAATGGGGCGATTAACAATTATGTTGGTGAATAAAGTTAAGCAGTTGAAGTTTTGTTGCTAAAATGCATGGTCAATAAAAATAATATTTATATAAACTGGAATAGAAAATTAAACGAGTATAGATCATGAATAAGAATGATAGCTGGTGATATTTGATGATGTTTATTGATTTATTTACAACTTTGATGTTTGCCTAAAGAGAAGAAAGAATAAATATTATGATAAATTAATCTTGTTTTAATGACTATGCAAATGAATAGTTTAATATGGAGACAATAGCTCGTCCTCATCCTCTCATCTGCTTGTACTCTTCAGAATGTGTGCTCTGGGTGATTTTGACTTTTGTGGTCACCATGATTGTCATGCTGGCTGTGTCTGAATGAGATGAAGGTGAGTGATGGTCGTGTCTTTGAGGTTGGTAACAAGAAATATTAAATAATCAAAAAGGTAGCCATTGCCCAAAACAAAAATATTAAACAGTATGTTTATTAATTGATATGGGTAGGTTTGGGATCAATTAATGGAAGAATAAAATATATTTGGAAATGATTCTATAAACTGATGTTCAAGGATATTTTATATCAATTTTATTTTTTTATTGAGAAATAGTTGTACTTTCACGTGTTCAACTTACTGATTTGCTATATATTATGAAATGATCACTGTTATAGCCAGTTAACATCCATCACCACACCTAGTTTCTAATATTTTTTTGTGATGAGACCTTTTAATCTATGGTCTCTTAAGAAGTATCCGAACACAATAAGGTATTATTGTATCAATGTGCTGTAGATAGCACTTCCTGTATACTTATTTACTTTATTACTACAAGTTTGTATCTTTTGAACACCTTTACCCTCCTGTCCTCCTATGCCTATCGTACCCTCCATCTCTGGCTATGACTAATATGTTCTCTATCCCTATGAGTTGGTTCTTTCATTTTTCGCTTTTGGGTTCCACAGGTAAGTGAGATCAAAGATATTTGTCTTTCTCTATTTTTCTTACTTCAGTTAGCATAATGCCCTTAGGTTGATCTGTGTTGTAACAAATGGCAGGATTTCCTTCCTTTTTAACAGTGAATAATATTCCATTGTAGATAGATAAAGCCGTGCATCACTTAACAATAGCATCCTTACGGAGAGATGTGGCATCATTGAGCAAATGTTGTAGAGTGTGTTTACACAAACTGGGGTGTGTACTACACAGCTGGGGTGTGTCCTATACAGCTAAGCAGCAGGCGTGTCCACTGCCTGTCACTTTGAAACATGGTCATGTGGTGCCTGCTTGTATCCCACATGTTTTCATCCTTCATTCATTGATAGACACTTAGTTCACATCTAAGTGTGGGCTGTTATAAATATGGGGGGTACAGGCACCTTTTTTGAGTTAATGTTTTCATTTCCTTTAGAACTGTATTGCATGATCATAGGACATTTTTATTTTAAATATGTTGAGAAATCTCCATAATTCTATAATTTTCCCTGATTTGTATGCACAAAGGTTCCCTTTCCTCCCCATTCTCATCTAAATTTGTTTTTTCTTATCTTTTTAATAGTCAACATGTCATCCCAATGTATGCGGTGAAATCTCGTTGATTTTGAATGTAAATTTCTGATTAGTGATGTTGATCAGTGATGTGTGTCCTCTGATCTTGTGTTTCTGTGAGCCATTATTATTTTTACTGTTATCAATGCATTATTTGATTTACACAAAAATAGAAACAAAGTAAAAAAGTATCAAATGTGGACTAATGGTGGTGGCTGTTGTGTAGGAATCATGGATGGTGAAGTCATGTCTGAAACCTTGGTCCAACATGCAAATAATTGGTCTGTTCCCTCTGTTGAATTGTTTCTAAAATGAGATGTCAGGATATTAAAAACATCATATTCTTGTATTGGTTTTGTTCATGTAGTTTGTTCTTGTTTATGAAATAATGATGAAACTATTAGGTGAATATAAATAAATGTTTTAAAAATTAAGGGTAAAGCATTGTCCATATATTAACACGTACGAAGAGGCAAATTATATTATTAATAAAGTTAATACACTAATAAATAAAATTAAACTATTAAGAAATAAATGAACCAGGGGTGTTCCCTCTTTGGCTGAGCCTCATACACACAGATAAGTAAGAGCCCATTGTTGTGGCTCAGTGTTGTGTTTGAGATAGGTTTTCTTGTATAGAGAAAATAATAGCTGCAGTATGAAATATTTATAAATTTTCAAAATGAGTGAGTAAAGGAAATGTGAAAATTAATCAATGGGAGTAGACTTGTTTGTTTATTTTTGTTATTAATTGTGCTTTGTACTTCTCAGAATGGACAGATTTGAGCTCATTTCGTCCTATTCTACGAAGGTGTGCTCTGCAATCGCATCTTTGTTAGAAGCACTATTGCCATGTGAGTAATGATCAGATTCCTTGACTTGGTATCAGGGTTTTTATTTTCAGTATATTCAGTGTATAATTAATAAGTTCCTATAGATTCATAGAAGGGTAGCTCAGTGACAAATAGTGAATCTTATGAAATATATTGATTAACGTATACATGAGCTACAGCACATTCTTAAAATAGATACTTGTGTGAATTACTTTATTTACAGATTAAGGTTATTATGACTCTTCTTGTATTTTTGTGAATAATAGGTTTTTAAAATTACATTGTGAAAATGATTTAGTCAATAAATTATGTAGAAATGAATGAAGAAAGAAGGGACCGTGTTGGATCGATGATGACCACTGGTGGCGTATGAGTCGGATTCGATGACTACGTGTCTGGAACTCTGAGGTCCAATCTAGCCCATTCCTACTGTTGGACGTGGTCCCATAAGAGATGGCAGGAACATGCAAAGATCTGCTTTCAGTCTTTATGCTCACAAATACTTTCTGTATTTTTATAATTGGACCAAGGAAATAACAATGACACATAAAATTAACTAAGATGAAGGTGGTGAAATATTGTCCAATTATAAAAATTGTGGCTAGACAAGGAATGCTGTTGCTACATTGCTATTTATATATCTTATGTATGTACATATGTTCATGTTGTCTATCTGTGGCTATATAGATACTGTTAGTTTAATTAAGGAAAATGAATTGTACATTATTCCAATTCATTGATTAATAATTGACTAAATAGAAGATGGAATTCTAGGGTCAATGAACATAGCGTCTAAATCTTTTTGTTATTGTCTGTTCTTCACCCTTCAGAATGGACTCGGTGGAGCTGACACAAGCTATTCCCGTGGGCATGAGCTCCATGATGGTCTCTACATAATAGGAGGATGAGGATAAATGTGAGTCACAGTTGAGGTTATTTCTTGGTTTAAGTGTTTTTAAAAGGTTATTCATTGCATTATTGAAAAGTGTGAAATATAATAAAATGAGGCAATGCGTTTCAATAATAAATCTTTGATATATGAAACAAATACCATTTAATCCATGTAATCAAAGCACAATAACCTGATGTGTTGATATGAGTATAATCTATGTCCATAAATGGACATTGAAGAAGCTCTTCTTATTTTTTTGTGAATCATCACACTTAAATGTATTAGTGAATTAATTATTTTATCAATAAGCATTTAGACATGAATGAAGAAAAAGAGGGCGGACACTGGATCGATGATGACTACTGGTGGCGTACGAGTCGGACACGATGACTACGCATGAAATCTGAGGTCCAACACAGAGGAAACTAGTAGGGTCCTGTTTTTTTTGGAGATCCTATTGTTAGATGTCAGGACTACATCAGGATCTTGTTTTTATTCTTAGCGTTCATACATTTTCATTGCAATATTATAATTGGAGAATTGAGAAAATTAATAAGGAAATAAAACATAGATGATTGTCATTTCTTCCTTGAGAACTGACTATAAAATGGCAAGACACAAGGACCAATGAGAAGAAAGCCTCACTCTTTTTTACCTCTGCTCTCTCTTCCACTTTGCAGAAGGGTCATGTTCAAGCTGGTGTAAGCGTTCCTCCGTGGCCACAAGGCCTGCCTGCGGGTCTGAGGGTCAGGAACAAGGAGAGGATGTGAGTAATAGTCTTATCTTGGGTTTGTAGGTTTTCGAGAAGGTTTTTAGTGTGTCATTAAAGTGTGTGAGTTAGAATTACTGAAGTGACCATGAGGTCAGTATTTCACAGTGTTCTCTTATATAAAAGATTGTAGAAACAGATAATAAGGATATTAAAGTCTTATTTTTATTAATGTATATTTATTGATGAATTTAGTCAGTGAGCACATGTTATGGGAGTGAAAGAAGGTCCATCACAGCTCACTGATGATGACTGTGGTGTAGGACACTTAACACGGCATCATGTCTCTGCACACTGGTGGCCACCGTGTCACACATTGTGTGCTGCTTATTTGACCCTCTGCTACATGTGAGGGATTTACCCAGTGTTCATAGTTTTACCCTTACTAAATAGAATACTAAATTCATATCAGTAAGATGAAAAGACAGAAGGTGAAACTTTGTTCAACTGTGAACATGGGTGTTAACGGACTTGTTATTAATAACACTAAACACATTGAAACTCATGAAGGAATGAAACCATCAAGTGTGTCTTCTCTTTGGTCATATTAATATAAATAAAGAGTCAATTTTATTGTAGCTCAGACACATTTGCTGTTTTCATTTTATTAACATAAAGATACCTATTCTATGAATGACTTAAAAATACCTTAATGAGTCAGTAAATGAATTGTGGTAAGCAGCATCAGTGTGGATGGGGCTTCAGGTTTCTTATTGACTATGCCTCATACCCCTCAAAATGGACACTCGTGGCCTGATAGATAGAGAGTCTGATGCCAGCCTCTCTGTGTTAGGAGCAGGAGACCAGTGTGACAGTTGAAGTTCTTGTCTAAGTTTGTTTTTTTTTTTTAATTCCCTGTATTATTAGAGAGTGAAATACCTTTGACAAAGGCTAGTGTATCTCAGTGATAAATATGGGCCATATTAACATTATGTTGCTTGATCATATACGGAAAGCTGAACATAGTTGATGAGACATGCGGATCTGAGTTTACACTGTATAGATTACAGACACCAAGTCGCTGCTTGGATTTTTGTGTAGCCCAGTGATATACAATGATTTTATTAATAAACATTTAGAAATGAGTGAGGAAAGAGAGGGGCTATATTGGATCGATGATGACCACTGGTGGCGTATGAGTTGGAGTCAATGACTACATGTGAAATCTGAGGTCCAATATGAAAGCAATCTTGTGCATTCCTGTGGCTTGCAGGGATCTTTTAGACACATGTCAAGAATGTATGAAGAACTTGTTTTTGGTTGCCAAAAAAACTGGTTCCATGAAGGAAAAAAGAAAGGCTCCTTAGAGAGTCTCACCGCGTGTGACCACCTGCTCTGCTTTCTACTCCGCAGAGCCAGCACCGTCCTCCCCACTGAAGGAGTCGCCTTGATCCCAAGCCCTGGGCTGGCCTCTCACTTTCAGGAGCCTGGAGACAAATGTGAGTAATAAGCCCAGTTCTTGACTTGCTTCTGGTGTTGTGTTTAAGGGCATCAGCACATTAACAAAGAGCAGGAGCTATGAACACTGATGGTCAAGTGAGTCCTGGAGAGAAATATGGGATCAGTAGGAGGCGATACACTGGCTCAGCCTCATGTCCACAGTGGGCTGGTTAACCACAGACGCAGATAGAGGCCTGTGGGTCCATGTCAGGGGTCACGAGGCCTTTGGGGTTTGTGACTGGTGGGATTGGAGGTTTCAGGTTAGTGCGCTGGTGACTGAAGCAATAAGCAAGAAGAAGTGGTGCAGAGAAGGTGGTCTTTCTGGACCGATGATGACAACTGCCGGCGTATGAGTCGTGGATCATGAATGGCCTGTGTCTGGAACTCTGAGGTCCGAGAGACTAGAAGTGAGACCTTTCTCTTCATGCATTTCCTTCTCTTGCTATGACTGAGCTGGGAAGGTGGGAGGGGACTTTGTAACAAACTCAGGGCACTATCACACTGACTCGTTGAGGTCCTGTGTGACAATAGTGTGAGAGCCCCGATGGTCAGAGAGAGACAGGTGGGGCCCTAGTTGCCCTCTTCCTCTGAGGGTGACCTGTACATGTGAGTCACGCAGGGCTGGTGTTCTGGGTCAGGGCAAGTTCCAGGTGGTTTGTGTCCTCAAAGGGAGTGAGCTCAGCCAGTGAGCTCAACCCAGTGATGGCTGCTAGACGCCTGGGTGATGGGGGCAGGGAGCCAGGCCGGGGTGGGCACCTCCCCTCTTATGCCTGCTCTGCTCTGTCCTCCTCAGCATGGACACTGCAGCGACTGTAACATCTCCCAGGAGAGCAGCCCTTGCATCCCCTGCGTGTCGTAGGAGCTTGGCCTCCCCGTGAGTAACAGTCAGTGGTCTTGACTTGGTTTACATAGCTTGTTTAAAGACATTCATTGTATTCTCAGAACTTGGAGTTGCCAATATTGTCAGATTGACATGAGCCATTTTGTTTGTTAATCCACAAATATAACACTGAGGATTGTTAATGGAAGATATTACAGTGGATAGCTTAATGTTAGGGATACTGAGGATTTTTAATTTATGTATTTTATTAACACATAATGAATAGCAAAGGATACAAGTATAAAATAAAAGTGTGTCAATAATGAATGCCCATCACTGTTGCTGGCACATGACAGACTTTACACACTTGTTTCTTTAAGGTCCAGCCCCAAACTTGTCCAGTTCCCTCCCCAGGTGTAAAGGCATCCACCGGACAGGTCTTGTTTTTGATCCTTGTTCACAAATCTCAACAATTTATAGAAATATTTATATCATAATCAATAATTATATAAGTCAGTAAGGTGAAGGGAGTGGTGTATTGTTCTTGATAAATACGTTGGAAGGTAAAAATAAATGTTCAGACATATTTCTATTGGATTATAAATAGACTTGGGTATGATGTCTTTGACTAAGTGATTTTATGAAATGTCATAGTCAGTTATTACCTGACTCAGTTGTATGTTTGTAGCTTATTTTTGATATGAAAATAAATATATTAGCACAAAATTCAGAACCAAAATGACTATGTAAATGAATGTTGGGTCTGCAGAAAGAACCACTCCACCATTATCCCCTTGCTTGGGATTCTGCAGAATGGAGGCTCAGCTGATTTCACTCTCTATTGTGATCAAGATTTTCAAGTTCCATCCATGTTAAGAACAAGACTAAAGTGAGTAATAGCAAGTAGTTTTCTTTTGTTTTGGGTTATTTATGTGTATTAATGCTATTATGATAATGTAACACATACTTTTAAAAACTCATCTTAGTCCAGTATGAAATATTCTGTGATTGATTAAATAGGTGATACAGAATTAAAATAATACAGGTCTTCCACACACACACGTGAGTGTGTATGTCACAGTGTATATTTGCAATGATCCTATAAATAGAAGTTTGGGGTTTTCAAGCCTCTTATTATTCATTTTTGGTGAATTACTTATTATTTTATTATTTTCATTGGATCAATATTCAATTGATACAAGTGTAGAAATGAATGAACGAAGCCTACGTGCAGCTCTAAAGGACCAGTGATGATAGGTAGTGGCGGATAAGTCATAGATGATGATTAATGTCTGGATATCTGAGGTCCATCACAGCACATAGTCTCTCTTCCAATGTATTTAATCCTGAATACCATGTTAAGAATGGAAAAGATCATGTTCTCACCTTGATTCCATAGATTTAAATTTATTATTATTGGGCTTTCCTGGTTGTATAGGGTTTACAGTCTCAGCACTGTCAAGCTATCGCCAGCCCCTGGGACATGAGTTCGATCTCTGGTCAGGGAGCTGACCCACATGGCTCAACAGACCTCTCCTGTCTCCCTACTGCTCTCCTTAGCAGTGCATTTCGGTGGATCCACCTTTTCTGCTTCCCACTCTGTCTCTGGTGAGTCCTGTCACCCCACCACACCTCTGACCTACAGCCCAGTTCTTGTATGTATAAATAAATAAAAATAAATCTTTAAAAAAAATAATAAAATCATATTCATTATTATTAATCTACCAATGGTAGAACCATTAAAGATATATAAATAATAGTTAAAGAGAAAGGGTCTATATTATCCAACTGAGAACATATATGGTGATGCAAGAAATTTTTAATAACGTTGAAAATAATGATGCCCATTTAAAAATAAATGGGTCAAAGGGAATTACCTCTTTGGTTAAGCATCATGTAGATATGGAGAAGTAAGAGTGCACTTACTTGTGAGGCTCAAGATTTAGGTTGTTCCACTGATCAAAAGAAAAGAACTTACAGTCTGAAAAGTTCATGCATTTCTAAATGAAATCCATAAATTCATAAATATTATGAAAATCAATAATATTGAATGTTGAGTCACTGATATATATAAATTAAGGATGAGTGGTGATGAGGTGTCTTTCCCTATCATTAGCTCTGCTCTGTCTGCCTCAGGATGGATGCATCTGAGCTGATTTAAGGTCTTCCATGGTCACGAGGCCTGTGCTTGACACAGCAGGAGCTCTGGGATCAGTGTGAGTTGTAGTTTAAAGTTCTTTTCTGGCCTTCCATTTTTTCTTAATGTTATTCAGTGTACTATTTAAAAGTACAAAATATAATTAAAGACAACAGTTGTATCTCAGTGATAAGTGTGGGATATATCAAATGTTGATTACCATGTATATGTGAAACTAAGGTTATAATGAATAATATATATTGATATACAATGAGTATACGTATTAGGTGCATACAAATCCTTGTTTGATGGAAATTATAGCATTTAACATTATTTTGGTGAATTTATGATTTAATCAACATTTAGGAAGAAGTGACGCAGAGCAGGGACCATATTGGATCGATGATGAGCCCCGGTGGCGTACAAGTTGGATTCGATGACTACATGTGAAATCTGAGGTCCAGCACAGGAGACCCCGCCCATCCCCATTCTCTGTGGGACTCACCCACACAGACGTCAGGAATATAAAAGGATGTTGTTTATGATCAGTCTTCACACGTGGTCGTTATATTATTATGATTGGATGAATAAGTATCTATAATTAAATATATAAACAAAATAAAGATGAATGGTGTGAAGCTTTGTCCAATTATAAAAATATATAATGAGGCAAGATAGACTATTAATGCAATATCAGAAAATTGACATTTAATTAGAAATAAATGGTAACTGACTGTTACTCCTATGACTAAGGATAATATGGACATAGACACTGTTTGGATTCTAGATTCGTGACAAACATAAAATTGTTTGCTTTCTTAGGAGAAGATAGATTTATACCCAATTAGTGATCACCCAAAAAACTAGTTACATGAAGGGAAAAGCAAGACTCCTTAGAGAGAGTCTCATCGCGTGTGACCACCTGCTCTGCTTTCTACTCCGCAGAGCCAGCACTGTCCTCCCCACTGAAGGAGTCACCTTGATCCCAAGCCCTGGGCTGGCCTCTCTCTTTCAGGAGCCTGGAGACAAATGTGAGTAATAAGCCCAGTTCTTGACTTGCTTCTGGTGTTGTGTTTAAGGGCATCAGCACATTAACAAAGAGCAGGAGCTATGAACACTGATGGTCAAGTGAGTCCTGGAGAGAAATATGGGATCAGTAGGAGGCGATACACTGGCTCAGCCTCATGTCCACAGTGGGCTGGTTAACCACAGACGCAGATAGAGGCCTGTGGGTCCATGTCAGGGGTCACGAGGCCTTTGGGGTTTGTGACTGGTGGGGTTGGAGGTTTCAGGTTAGTGCGCTGGTGACTGAAGCAATAAGCAAGAAGAAGTGGTGCAGAGAAGGTGGTCTTTCTGGACCGATGATGACAACTGCCGGCGTATGAGTCGAGGATCATGAATGGCCTGTGTCTGGAACTCTGAGGTCCGAGAGACTAGAAGTGAGACCTTTCTCTTCATGCATTTCCTTCTCTTGCTATGACTGAGCTGGGAAGGTGGGAGGAGGGGACTTTGTAACAAACTCAGGGTACCATCACACTGACTCGTTGAGGTCCTGTGTGACAATAGTGTGAGAGCCCCGATGTTCAGAGAGAGACAGGTGGGGCCCTGGTTGCCCTCTTCCCCTGAGGGTGACCTGGACGTGTGAGTCACGCAGGGCTGGTGTTCTGGGTCAGGGCAAGTTCCAGGTGGTTTGTGTCCTCACAGGGAGTGAACTCAGCCCAGTGGTGATGGCAGCTAGATGCCTGGGTGATGGGGGCAGGGAGCCAGTCCAGGGTGGGCACCTCCCCTCTTATGCCTGCTCTGCTCTGTCCTCCTCAGCATGGACACTGCTGTGACTGTAACATCTCCCAGGAGAGCAGCCCTTGCGGCCCCTGCGTGTCCCCTGCTTGGCCTCCCCGTGAGTAACAGTCAGTGGTCTCGTCTTCGTTGAGTGGTTTGTTCAAGGACATTCACTGTGTAATTGAAATACCAAATATAATATAATCAAGGAAGGGGAAATATGCCAATAGTATTAAATATGATATGAAGCACATGTTGATTAATCCATAAATGTAACACTGAGCACAATTATTGAAAAATGAGATTTATTTTATGTGGAAATTATTTTACGGATGCATGTTAGGAGTGATGAATGATCTGGTTCTTATTTAAACAATGAATGTGCATTTATTGTTATTAATTGTTATGAGAGTAAAAGGAAAGAGGGCTGATTAGGAATATGTGTGATGGTGACTTCTGGTGTCCGCGCTACTTGCAGTGAACTGTATGCTGGACTCTGAGCCAACACAGGTGTGCCGTCCGGCCCTGTGTGGTAGGACCCTCTAGAGAGAGGTCAGCACGACCCTTAGAATGTTTCTTGGCCTTTGTGTTCATCAATTTAAATTATATTTATAAAGTACCAAGGACAGACTACACAAGAAATGCATAGACGAATGAAGATGAAGCTGGTGGATGCTATTATTTGATAAATGTGTAGCTTGGTGAGCAAATATCTTATACATTAAGGTGGTTAATAGATGGACCAGGATTGTCACATCGTTTAATACGTTGATAGAGATAATGAAATATAACCGTTGATCATTTCCACAGCTGCTGTTTATTAAAATAAAAGTAAATATTATCACGACTAATGATGTCTAGTGACTGGAAATGAGCGGTGGGGCTGTAAATCAGGGCAAAGTATTGTCCTTTCACCAGCACCTCTGCCTGGCATTCTGCGGCCTGCAATCCGGCTTATGGCGCCAGAGGCAAGGCTGTTACGTTCCTCTCTGTTTTTCAAGAGACACCAGGTGAGTCGCACGCAGTCAAAGGCCTGGTCTTTGTTTGGGCTATGTAAGGATCAAATCAATATAATCAAGTGTTTGACTTAAACAGAACCATACCAATCATATATAAACATCAAGTATGTGTAATCATCAATTATTATAAATGTAAGAATATAAATATTTTCAGTATACCAAACTCCAGAAATTGTATCATCAGTTGTTATAAGCATAATGCTGACCTGATACTGATTCATTGATGCTGTGTTTCATTCATACTGATTATTGAAAGTCATCTGTTCTCTATTGGTGGTGATTCCCCAGCTAGAAGTTAGGGATATTCACATATCCTGTTCTTCAGTTTATGTGACTCATGTATTTATTATTATCATGGAATGAATTATTTAATAGACAAAGATGCAGATCAAATGAAGACAAAGTGGTTTTCCAGTGAGCCGATGTGTCACTCGGTGGGACGCACGGCCCCGTGCTGCTGGGGATTCCCTCTCTGTGTTTGATCCTGCAGACAGATGTTGGGAATGTACACAAATCATGTCCTTATTTTGGGTTAATAGATTGACTTTAATTGCTATTAATGGATTAGTGATAGAAACACTGTAGAAATATAAATAGTAGATGAAGAATAAAGGTTGAGCCTGTGCAACTGTGCACATGTAGTGAGGCAAGAAATATTAGTAAATATTGAAAACACTAAAGCTCATTAAGAAAAACCTGATTCAGGGTCTTATCTGTTTAAAGAACACAGAGATATGGATAGTTGTCAGTGTTACTGTTTGGGGATCTCTCAAGTTTGAGGATGTTCTTTTGTGAAGGAAAAATGGTATCTACATTACCAAAAATATTTAGATACCCAAATGATTCAGTAAATGTAATGTGAAAATGAAGTACTAATGGATTTTTTTTTTTTTAATTTTTAACTGTGCATTGGTCCTCATAAGGGCCACATTGAACGGATTCAAGAATTTAGTCATGGTGATGGGCCCCATGATCGCATCTCTGTGCCAGAAGCTCAGAGATCCAGGTGAGGGTTAGTTAAGCTCTGTTTTGTGTTGCAGTCATTTTATTTTTGGGAGGTGTTTTTATAAAATGCCATCAGGAATCAAAGATCAGCTATAGCCCATTGATCAGTCCTATGTCAATATGAACCATTCATGGATCGATGTATAGGTAGAATTTTGGATTCTTAATGAGAGGGCTATACTGTGGCAAGAACCGGTCCAGATACAAGTTAGTGAGATTAGTGCCTTTTTGGGGTACTAAGTTTGTGAAATCATGATTCACTGACTAATGACCTAGTCAGTAGACCAGTAGAAATTAGCGAAGGAAAAGAGGGACCATATTGGATCGATGATGACCACTGGTGGCGTACGAGTCAGACACGATGACTACGCGTGAAATCTGAGGTCCAACACGAAGGAAACCTAGTGGTTTCCTTTGTTTTCAGGGATCCCGTAGACACCTGTCAGGAATATACAAGGGTCTTGTGTTGAGATTTAATGTTCACACACTTTCTGTTTTTATAATTGGCACAATGAAATAATAGATATATATGGAGTGAAGCATTAGCCAATTATAAAAATTCTGGGTTATGCAAGAAGTACTGTTGAGTTAATAGATGAAGTTTTTCTATAGGGAGATGTTAGGTATGTATGAAGTCATACTTTTGTATTGATTTCATATATATAACTATGTTATTAGTGGTAGAGATAGAATGTTAAATATAATGATACTTATGTTATATATAAATATCATATAATTATAGAAATGTTAAATAAATATAAAAATTAAAGATGCATAAGGTAAGGCCTTGTCTATGAACGTATGTGGAGACATGAAAGATGAATAATTAAAGTTATTACAAAGTGTATGTATGGGATGCAGAGATTAGGTATCAAATTTTTTATTGTCTGCTCTTCTCTGCACCCCTCAGAGTGGACTCAGTGGGGCTGACCCAGGCCTCCCCTGTGGGCACGAGCTCTGTGGTGGTTTCTACGTTCAATAGAAAGATGAAGATAAATGTGAGTCACAGTTGAGGTTGTTTCTTGCTCCAAGTGTGGTTTCTTAATGGTAATTTGCTGCATTATTAAAAAGTGTGAAATATAATTAAAGAAGTAGTATGTGACAGTGGTAAATATGGAATATGTGAAGCAAAATGTTTATTAATCTGCATAGGAAAATCTAAGAATAATGAATGAAAGATATTGATGTGAGAACCAATTATGCACGGATTAAGAATATCAAAACTCTTCTAAGGTTTTTGTTAGCTATAGCATTTAGAAATTATTGTTAGTGAATTAATGATTTTTCCATTAGAATTAGAATGGAGTGAAACTAAAGAGGGGCCATATTGGATCGATAGTAAGCTCTGGTGGTATACGAGTCAGACGCGATGGCTGTGAGTAGAATCTGAGGTCCAGCAAAAAAGAAAGCTTGTCCAGTCCAGTGTTTGGGAGAGCCTGTAGGCAGGGATCAGGAATGTCCGAGGGCCTTGGTTTTGGCCTTTGTGCACACACATTTGCATTGTATTAATGTACTTTGATAAAACTCTAACCACATAAGGAAATAAAGATAAGTGGACATCGTTGTTCAATTAGATAAATATGTAATGAAGCAAGAAGTACTCATATTTATATTTTACTGTATATTTACGTATGTAGCTAAAAATCTGAATTTCCATTTGAAGTGAATGGTGCTTGACTGGTGCCCGTATGACTAAGGACCATACAGGCAGAAAAATATAATAAATGATATTCAGAATAAATAATATTTAGATTGGATGCAAGATCAAAGTTGTTTGTGTTCTTTAAGGAAAAACATGTTCACACCATGTCAGATGATTGGCTCCGCCCTGGCCCCATGATTGGTGGGTGGCAGCCATCAGTGGGAGTGTCACCTCCTGTTACCCGCTCTGCTCTGCCCTCTCCAGCAGCGGCTCCCAGGCCCGTTCTTCTCCTGAACCATGACTCAGCTGACCATTCTTTGTGGGCTCTGGGGACAAATGTGAGTAGTGGTACAAGTTCTTCATTCTGGTGGTGTTTTTAATAAGGTTGTTTAATGTAGTAGTAAAAAGTATAATCAGAAGTGACCTGTATTATAGTAACAATTATATGATTAATATGAAGTATTATCTTACTACATCTATGAAAAACTAAGGATGATTAATGACAGATATATTTTGTTGTGAGAACAATTCTAGTTCCCTACTAGAGATCTCAAGGCCTTTTTGATAGCATTTGAAATTATAATTGGTAAACTAACAAATAAAGCAGTGAAGAGAGCAGAAGTGGGAGGGGAGAAGGTGGTCTTTCTGGCTCCATGATGACAATCGCTGGCGTAGGAGTCGTGGATCATGAATGGCCCGTGTCTGGAACTCTGAGGTCCAGCACCTAGAAATGTGGGTTCTCTCCATGCAAAGGCATCTTATTTGATTATTGCCTGCCCTGCTCTCTACTCCTCAGCATGGATGCCCTCGGGAGAGTATGACTTTCCCAGGTCACAGGCTGTCTGGTTGCATCTGTGTTGCAGGGTCACGGAGGCCAAATATGAGTAAAAGTCACTCATTTAATTTGAGTCATTTGTTGAAGAGTAGTTACTATATTTTCAAAATATTAAATATACCCCAAAAAGGAAAAACATGCCTATGTCAAATATTAATGGAGACAATTTTGTGGATCAGTCCATACATGTAAATTCAAGGTGAGTTTTTGAAAGAGCTAGTCTTTGTGGGAAAGATTGCAATGATAGATATTAAGGACAGTAAATGATCTTATATTTTACACACGTATATTAATTAATTAGTAGACACATTGTCTGTGGGGATAATAAGAAATACGGCAGTCGTGGATCCATGGTGTTGGCTCTAGCACGTGAATTTTACATGATAAACATTGCGTGTCTGGATGCCAACACGGAACACAATACCTAGCATGTTCTCTCTGTATTTGACTCTGTGATAGATGTAAGGGATATATTTAATGAAGATCTTTTTAGAGTTATTCTTATTAATTAATTAATTAAAGACCCATTAGAGAAATTTTTTGTGTCAATGTCATTATTTTTTGTTTTACTTAAGTAAAACATAACATTTTAAAGGGTGAAGGACTGTCCAACTTAAACAAGAATAAACGGGTCAAGAGCGTCACCTCTTTGACTGATGACCATATAAATGCAGATAATTAAGAGTCAGTTTTATTATGGGTCAGACTCAAATTTGCTTTTGTTCACTTGTTAATATAAAAGGACCTAGGCACAATTTACTGTAATTCATAATATTGGTATAATTAACAATAAACACCTAAAGGAATGATTTAATGAAACGTGTAGAAAGGGGATCCATGGGGACAGGTCTTCATTTTTTTGTCACCTGCTGTCCTTTGTGGTCCTCAGGATGGACACCTGCGACCTGATTGTCCCTGGGTGGCCAGCATGGTCACCTCTCTGAGAACCTCTCTGTGTTAGGAGCCCCGAAGCCAGTGTAAGTAAGAGCTAAAGTTCTTGTATGAATTTCAGTGATTTTCTTCAGGGTATTTAGTGTGTTATTAAAAAGAACCACATAGGACCTCCTTGGTGGCGCAAGGGGTTAAGACAAGGGGTTAACCTCTGAAGATGTCCGCAGCTACTGCAGCATGAGTTTGATTCCCCGCCAGGGAGATACCCACATGGTGCAGCAGGCCTCTCCTGACCTGCTGTTCCCCTCAGCAGTGTATTTCAGTCAATCTGCCTGTTCTGTTCCCCACTCTGTCTCTGGTGAATCCTCTCACCCCCCCACATCTCTGACCTATAACCCAGTTCTTGTATGCATAAATAAAAAAATCTTAGAAACATACAGGTAGATGGGTTATATACTTAAAAAAAAGAATATCGGGTATGTAAATTTTGATGTGGAAGTCATTCTGTTAGTGAATTAATGAATGAGTCAATGGACAACGTAGAAATGAGTGTAAAAAGAGGGACAGGGCCTCCCTGGTGGCGCAGTGGTTGAGCGCCACGCTGCGAAGCTGTCCACAGCCTCTGTAGCACTGGTTCGATTCCCCGCCGGCCAGGGAGAACCCCACATGGCTCAGAAGACCTCTCCTGCCTCGCCTTCTGCTCCCCTCAGCAGTGTCTTTGGTTTGTCTGCCTGTTCTGCTCCCCGCTCTGGCTCTGGTGAATTCTCTCATACTCCCATGCTTCTGACCTCTACCCCAGTTATTGTATAAAATAAAGAAATAAATCTTTAAAAAAAAAATAAAAAGAGAGACTGTATGGGATGGGTGGTACCACTGGTGGCGTGTCAGGCAGGCTCAATGAGTGTATGGATACCTGGGGTCCCCCACGCGTGGGTCCTTGTCTGTTGCCAGGGAAGTGATCCTTGCTCTGGGAAGTGATTCTGTAGTCAGAAGTCAGAAACATGCAATGACATTGTTTTGAGCTTTATAGTCATGCATTTTCCATTATTAATATTAGTTCAATGAACAATTAATAAACATAAATAGATAAAGATGGGAGAGATAAAAGATTGTCCAATTATAAAGATGTGTGGTTAGGCAAATACTATTAACATGTATTGAAAAGAAATCCTTATTAGGGAACACATGTACATGGTGTTTCCTTTGACAACGATGTATAATTAGCGATAAGCCAGTCAATATTTATCTTGTCAACGACAAGATCAACGCGTACATTTACTGATGAGAAATGAAAATATGCATGATCCCATTTCACTCCCAGCCAAAACGACTGCCTAAACGAACTGTAAAGATGACGAGCATAATGCCTCGACTTTGTCCCGCTTTCTGTCTTCTGCTCGGCAGCCTGGGCGTGTGGAGCTGCTGTGGCATCCTCTGTGGCCACGGACCCTGCCTTTGCATCGATGCTTCATGAGTGTGGAGAGCAGTGTGAGGCGTGGGCAAGTTCTTTTCTTGGTTTTGTAGTTTCTAAAAGAGATTTTTCACTGTGTTATTAAACTGGGTGATGTGATCAATGATCGCCATTCACTGTTTAAAAGCAACATGGTGTTGATGTGAATATTGTGTTACTATCTCCAGGAACATGTGCTGTTATCAGTGAGAGAGATACATTGTGAGCGGTGATGGGGTAGACAAATGTCACTATATTCAAGGATAGTTTTAGTTTGGGATAAGAGTGACATCGGCAGTTATAATAGTTACTGATGGGTTAAACATTGACATTTGATTTAACAAGGGAAAAATAAATATTACCATCAATGAATGCACTGCTAATGACTATACATGGATGGTAGAAACTGTGACTCGGTGGGGTGGAAGCCCTAATATTTTTACTTGTCTTTTGGGTTCTCTTCTTTACAGATGCTGGAGTCGATTGTAGCATCTGCCATGGTCAGGAAATCCTGGGGCCTCTGTGTGGAGGACACGAGGGTGAGTAATGGTCAGTCTTGTACTGAACCGAATCATTTGTCTAAGGGTATTTATGATTATTTTATTTTTTTTAAAGATTTATTTATCTATGCATACACATGCTGGGGTACAGGCCAGAGGTGTGGGGGGTGAGAGGATTCATCAGAGACAGAGCGGGGAACAGAATAGGCAGACTGACCAAAGCACAATGCTGAGGGGAGCAGCAGGCAAGTCAGGAGAGGTCTGTTGTGCTATGTGGGCTGCTCCCTGGCCGGGGATTGAACTCGTGCTGCAATGGCTGCGGATAGCTCTATAGGTTGCATCTTAACCCCTTGCGCCACCAGGGAGGCCCCTTATGATATTATTTTATTTTAAAAGTATTAAATTAATTAAAAAATTTACTATGGCCCAGTCATTACTATCATATGAATCACTGTTGATTAATCAATAGTGTACAGGGCTGAGGTCAGTTAATAGAAGGTAAGGTCAGTTAATAGAAGGTGAGCCTCTATATGAAGCGATTCTGTGAAAAAAAAAAAAAAAGAAATAATCAAGATTCTTGTTCTTGATTTTTTTTATAAGCCTTATTTTATTAGTGAATAAATGACTTAACTGGTACAAATGTAGAAATGGGGGAAGAAAAGGTAGTTCCGGCGGTGGACCAATGATGACACACGTGACGGTAGGAGTCACAGGCGATGAAGACAAGTCTGAAACTCTGAGGTCCAGCGCGGAGCAGGTGCCTCCCTCTGGAACAGGGGTGAGGCGTTTCCAGTGAGGAGCCAGGGTGGTGAGGCCAAAGACGCAATTAAACTAGGACCACGATGCCTCCCAAGAAGGGGAAGGCCCCATGGTGGAGGGTCATGTAGACACCAGTCACGATGCTAGGCTTACTTTTCTGGGTCAATCTCAAGATTGAGTTTTCCCTTCTGCCAAAATAATAAAGTACATGCTATGAAAAAATTAATAAATGCTTAAATGCTGAGCTAATGAAATGAAGAAAGCAGTGATCCATGCTAATTAGGTATCAATGCTTTGTCTCCTGTCCACCCTTGACTCAGAATGTATGCAGAGGAGCTGGTCCCTCTGGTCTGCATCACCTCCCCGAACCCCACCCCATCTTGGCACCCCTAGTCTTGGCGCCCCTGGTCTCGAGTGCTGTGTCTGCTGGATGGGGTCATGTAAGTAATAGCTCAAGTCATTTTATTGGTTGCAATGTTGCTTTCTTAAGGTTATTTGCCCAAAGGTGCAGAAGAGTTATTGCAAGGTCATTTGCAGGTTTGACAGGTATTCTCCTAAGTTTGCAAGTGATGATCTGGAGGGAGAAGTAAGTCCCACCGTGAGTAAGTGAGTGCTGTGTGGCTGACTGTGCCCAGGAAGAATTGAAGTCAGGGCATGGGAGAACACCATGCTCTTTGTATCATTGTTTCTCAGCTTGGGGCTCTGTAGGCTGCATGCCTGGAGCAGCCTTTAGGCCACTGTGACCAAGATTATGTTGCCTCAATGTTGGTAAAAAGAACTAGATGAGGCATAGTCAGAGTTCTTTTTTTGATTTCAGTTCTCGTATCAGAGTAGCCATGGCAGTACTACAAGTCTAAACGTAATCACAAAGTCACCCATGGCCTTGTAGGAGACAATCTGCCAATTGATTGTGAATGTGTGACATTGATAAATAAGTTTGGTATTCCATAGACAGATGTTTGGGCTATTCAAGGTTCTGGCTCTTGTGTTTGCTTGAATTTGTTTTAAATTAATGTGTGTGTGTGTGTGTGTGTGTGTATTTGAATTAGTGACTTAGTCAACACAAATGGGGAAGCAAATGAAGAAAATGTGAAATGACCAATGACCTTGGCTGGTGCCTGGATGACTGATAACATTGTGTGTGGGACTCTGAGCACCACCAACAACTAGTGCATTCCCCCTGCTTGCAGTGGCCCTGTAGACAGCTATCAGGCACATACAGCGTCTTGTTCTTATTTTGGATTTGTTTTAGATTTATCATTACTCCATGTATGGAGCAATAATCGATCCATTCAACAAATAGAAACTCATAAAGAAGCAGGGAGTCAAGAATTTCCAACTATGAACATGTGGTGAGACAAAAAATAGAAGCAGTCCAAGCTGATAATACTCATGCTTATTAAGAAATGAGTGACTCAAGATTGTTACTCTAAGATTTAGAATCAAATTTTATTCTGCTTTTTTTTTAAAGATGTATTTATTTATACAAGAACTGGGGTATAGGTCAGAGGCACAGGAAGGTGAGAGAATTCACCAGAGTCAGAGCGGGGAGCAGAACAGGCAGACAGACCAAAGACACTGCTGAGGGGAGCAGCGGGCGAGGATGGAGAGGTCTGCCGCGCCATGTGGGTTTCTCCCTGGCCAGCTGGGAATTGAACCCGTGCTACAGGGGCTTCCAGAAACTTCACAGAGTGGCACTCAACCTGCTGCCCCACCTGGGAAGCCCTTTATTCTGTTTTTATTCCATGTTTGAGATTGTTCCTTTTTTAGGATTAAAAATATATTTATGAAAAATTAGTACTGTCTAAATGAGCAACTAAAATATAGAAATCAAAGATCAATGGAAATCAACATTTCTGACTTTTGAATATATGCTCTGCTTTGCACTCCTCAGAATGGATGACTTCAAACTGATTTAAGCCTCCTCCCTGGCAGGGCCTCCTGGCCACATCTGTTGTTGGATCACAAAGACCTGTGTGAGTAGGAATCCAAGTTCTTGTCTTGGTTTAGGTAGTTTGGTTAAGAGTATTCTGAAGATTGTTAGAAAGCGTGGGAAGAACTCAAAGTTGGCCAATTATTTACTAGTGATGCCTATAAAATGGACATGACTCTTTGTAAATAAAACTGAGCAAAAGTAATGAAAACTGTATTAATGTGAGCATTATGATATATGTAGATTAGGGACCCTTGGGTTTAGTGACTCAGTGATGAAAATTATTAGTGAGTTAATTATTGGATCAGTAAACATAGAAATGAAGAGGAGGGATGATACTGGCTCAGCACTCGCTGGCAGCGTAGGAGTCAGGTGCAAAGGACATATGTGGAATGCTGGGGTCTAATGAAGAAAATGAGTCCAAGGGGCTCATTTATTTATTTATGCATGCAAGACACTTCCAAGGGGCCCTGCATCAGATGTCAGGAATATGAAATACATGGGTTTTTTTGGATCTGGCATTCATGCATTTTCACTCCATTTTTATAATTGGATAAAGGAAAGAATCTATAAAGATAAAAGGAGTGAAGTATTGTCCAATTATATAAATGTGTGATTAGGCAAGAAATATTATTTATGTGTTGAACACATCAAAGTCACTGAGAAGTAAGTGATAAATGTCTGTTCTGCCTCAGGTGAAGGACAGTGTAGACAATATAAATCAAGGCATTGTTTATATTCTGGGTCCATGGCAAGTTTGAAATTGCTGCTTTTCTTCAGAGAAAATGAGATAAATATACTTGAAATTAATGATTGCATAATTGACTGTCTAAATTAGAGGTGAAAGACAAGGATCATTGGAGACGAGTGATTTTTAAATTGCCTTTTCTTCTCCACATGCCTCAGAATGAGCACACCTGAACTGGCTTCAGGGTTTTCCCATGGTCAAGAACTCATGGTCATTTCCATTTGCTGGGATCACGGGAACCACGTGAGTTACAATCAAAGATTTTATCCTAGTCTGGGTTCCTTGTTTGAGGGTATTCACTATGTCAACAAAAATTCTGAGATATGAAATAAGACTGGCTCAAGGGGTTAAGCACAGCACTATGAACTGATCCGCAGCCTCTGCAGCATGAGTTGGATCCCCGACGAGCCAGAGAACAATCCAGATGGCACAGCAGACCTCTCCTGTCTTGCCCGCTGCTCCCCTCAGCAGTGTATTTCAGTCCGTCTGCCTGTTCTTCTCCCCACTCTGCCTCTGGTGAATCCTCTCACCCCCCACACCTTTGGCCTGTACCCCAGTTCTTGTATGCATAAATAAATAAATCTTAAAAAAAAAGTTAACCATTTAAAAAAAAAGACCAACTGTAGTCCCATGATAAATGTGGGTTATATATGATAATATCATATCATGTTACATTAATATAATACATTATGCGTGTGTGCATATGTGAGTGCATGTGTGAAAAACTGAAGCTGATTAATGCAAGGTTAGCAATACCATGGTTCTTTTTGGGTTTTTGTGAATCATGGTGTTTAAAAGTTATTACTGGTGAATTAAATAATAAATTAATAAATACCGCAGAAATGAAGACCGAGGAGTTGAGTCAGCCCTGACCAATGATGACCACTGGAGGCCTCTGAGTTGTGTATCATGAATACGATGTGTCTGGGACACTCAGTTACGACGCAGAATAAACCCAGTCCATTCTCATTTTTTTTGTTGTTTTTTGAAAAATAAATTTATTTATGCATACAAGAACTGGGGTACAGGTCAGAGGTGCAGGGGGTGAGAGGATTTGCCAGAGACAGAGTGGGGAACAGAACAGGCAGACTGACTGAAATATACTGCTGAGGGGAACAGCAGGCAAGTCAGGAGAGCTCTGCTGCACCATGTAGGTAGCTTCCTGGCCAGGGATCAAACTTGTGCTGCAGTGGCTGCGAATAGATTCATAGGTTGCGTCTTAACCCCTTGCCCCACCAGGGAGGCCCCATTCCCCATTTTGAAGGGATCCTCTTGCTACATGTCAGGAGTATATAAAGATTCTGTCTTTGGTATTTGTGTTCATGCATTTTGAAACTATTCTTAAAATCAGGTAATAAATGCAAGAACATTTAAAACATGTTGATAAGTAAGGATGAGTAAGGTTCAGCATTGTCCAGTGTTCAAAATACGTGGCCAGGCAAGAAACACTATTCTGTATATTGAATGAACTGATGGCTGTGAAGATAGAAATGGCAGATGCTGTTTCCTCCTCGACTAAGGATAATGCAGACGGTATTAATAGTAAATTCATGTTTGTGTCAGTGGCAAGACCAATATTTTTATTCACTTAGATAGGATAAAATAAATGGCCTCCCAAAAAGGGAGTTACTTAAATGACTAACTGAAAGGTAGGCTGCAAAGACCAGTGCAGAGAGTATCACCAACTTTTGTTACTGCCTCCTCTGCTCTGTACCCCTTAGAATGGACACGCGGGAACTGACTGACACGCTCTTTTGTGATTGAGAGCCTTAAGGTACATCTCTGCTTTATCAACATGGAGGCCAACGTGAGTAATAGTCATAGATCTTGTCTCTATTTCTTTAGGTATTTAGTTTATTGCTATTAGTGAAACAATAAAGATTTATGAATTAATAATATTCAGGTAGATGTGAATTAGGAAGATGCTGGTGCCACACCTGGGTCAGCGATGACACTGGTGCCATGAATCTCAGTCAGTGACTGTCCTGTGTCTGGAACTCTGAGGTCCAGTGCAATAAAAATCCATTCTCCTTCCCTGTTGGAAAATAATCATATCGATGGATGTTAAAGCTATTTAAAATCCTGTGCCTTTAATTTTATGGCTCATGGATTATGATTCTGCTACTATAAAAGAATCAATAAAAATTTAAATGGTTAATGTGGCCATATTCCAATTATTAAAATATGTGGCAGGGAAAGAATTAGTACTGATCTAATTTGGAGTAGACAACAGAGGAAACAAGGATGTTTGCTCCTTTCACTGAAGGTCACAACTATTGATGAGTGATCACTGTCATGTTCGGGTCAGTTATAAGTTCAACATTTGTTTTACTAAGAGGTAAGTAAACAGATATTACCATAAATTAATAAATACTAAAGGATTATATAAATGAAATACACATGGATAGAAAATCTCCAGTTTTATCTCCTGTTCTGCCTCATGCTCCTGGAATGGGCCCTGCTTCATGCACTACACCATTCTGCCCTGGGCATGAGCTCAATGATTGCTTTAGAACATGGAGGCCCATGTGAGTGAAAGTCAAACGTCCTGCCTTGATCTGGGTGGTGGAAGAGTAGAAAATATAATCAAAGTAGGCTAAACATATTCCATTAATGAAAATGGGATGGACACAGAACTTTTGAGTGCGTAAGTGGAACACTGGTTAATACCAGAAAGATCTACGGTTTACAAAGAATGATTTTATAGACACATGTTAGGGATATCAAGGCTCTCACTCTTTTTTTTCTGATTCATGTACATTTTTTACTAGGCAGTAAATCATTGAATAAATTGGTAGATAAAATATAAATAACAAGAAGTATTCATGAGTGTGGATGTTGATGATGACAGGGGTGTGTGAATCACGGATGGTGAATAATGAGCTTCTGGCCACCTGAGGCCCAATACACAAAGAAATCTAGTCTATCCCACCACTGGACCACTGGAAATGATCCTATCCATGGTTTTTAGAATTTTTCAATTACTACTTCTTGTTCATGGATAATGAAGGTGTTATTTTGCATGCATTAATGCATGAGGGGTTTAATAAGAGTCAGTGAATAAGAACGTGGCTATGCCTAGACAGAGTCTAACATATGCAGTGAGGCAAGTGTTGGTACCAGCTTAGTTTTGAGGAAATGATGTTTTGTTTTTTATCACTCAGAATGTTGTACATCTAGATAGATATTAAATTGCTGAGGTTCACATCGTGAGCTGTCTTTGGTCCAATGGTTATTCGTTTTATTACTAAAAAGAAACAATATATATTGTTATAAAAGAGGAAATAAAAATAAAAGGTGAAGAACTATATATATATATATATATATATATATATATATATATATGTTAAGAGGACCAGTGACAGATGTGTGTTATTTATCAGGAGCTTATATTGTGGGCACCAAGCTCCCTTCAGTTAAACAGCAACGGCACATGTGTTACTCTTATTCAGTAATGTTGTCTTGAGTGTGCAAAGATTCCAATTTTATCATAATAATGAATAAATAAGTCTATAATAATCAATAGTTCAAAAGTGTGGGCCAAAAAAATGAGTATGTCTCGAAATAATGGTGATTTAACCAGTGTCAGGAGAGCTCTCCTAAGACAGAACATTTGGGTAAGGGAATCCAAGCAGATATGCACAAGAGCATTTCTATACTGGGTTTCCAATCATTTGAACATTGTTTCATTTCTTTGTTAAAATTAATTTATGAGTGAAAGAATTAATAAGAAATAGAATCAAGTATTGTTCACTGCTATGAAATTGTTGTTTTTAAAGATTTATATATAGTGTCTGGGTCAGAATCCCGCAGACCTCTGCCGGGAGCACCCAGGGGTCTCGTTCTTGGTGGGTGGTTCTCTCTTGGGTATTGCTTATGTTATAAAACACAGGTAAGTGGCTACATAATACACAGGGTTTTAAATAGAGCAGAGACTTGTTCTACACCAAGGATTAAGGTGTTCTCAATTAATACAACTTTTGAATTCTTTTTTTCAATGTTTAATATATTTTATTTTATATAATTCTTACAACATTTTTCATTTTTGCACAATGTATGTATTTTCATTTTGGTTATATTCCCCATACAATTGTATCCCCCTTATTTTAACCCTAATCCCTCCCCCGCCCGCCTTAGTGTGTCTCTGGTTTATAGTTGCTTGTTGGTTTTGATTTTTTATTATAATTAGTCTTTTTTTATTTTAATTAGTCTTTTTCCTGGTCCCTTATTTAGGTTTTCTAAAGTCCTGCTATGAGTGAGACCATCTGGTATTTTTCTTTTTCTTTCTGGTTTATTTCGCTGAGCATGATCCCTTCCAGCTCCATCCATGTTGCTGCAAATTGCATGAGTTTATCTTTTTTGATTGCTGAGTAACATTCCGTTGTGTATATGTACCACATCTTCTTGATCCAGCCATCTATTTTTGGGCATTTGGGTTGTTTCCATAGCTTAGCTATTGTTAATAGTGCTACTATTAACATAGGGGGGCAGGTGCCCTTTTGAATTAATGTTTCTGTGTCATTTGGGTAAATACCTAGGAGTGGAATTGCTGGATCATATGGAAGCTACTATCCTTAGTAGGTCGAGGAATCTCGACATAGCTCTCCATAGTGGTTGGACCATTTTGCACTCCCACCAGCAGTGCAGGAGAGTTCCATTTTTGCCACATCCTTGCCAATTTTTTTAATATGTGCCATTCTCACTGGTATAAGATGGTATCTCATTGTAGTTTTGATTTGCATTTCCCTGATTACAAATTAGGTTGAACATTTTTTCATATGCCTATTGGCCATTTGCATTTCCTCTTTGGAGAAGTTTCTGTTATCATCAACGTCATCCTAAAATGCATTCATTACGGTTCACTGATAAGCAAACCAGGGATGTTATCTCTTTGAGTAACAGTTATATAGACAGAGACTATATAGTAGTCAGTGTTCTTGTTTCAAGTGAGTTTTTTTATTTTATTAAGAGAAAGAGAAATAATTTCATTTATAAATCAATAGTGATAGCCGATCAACCGGGGGGTGGGGGGTAAGCCAGGGTCAATGGAGAGCATAATATTTCCCCCTTGTTTGCAAAAGATGCTCTCACATATTTTATTGACATTTTTAAAGTTATAATAGAATGCATATTTATTTTAATTATTCAAATCATATTTTTGATTTACAATTTGTTTACAAAAATATTTAATTTGGGGAATACAGCATTGCACCTTAATACTTGCTTGTTTCACACACCCATCGCTGAAGTTCTAGTGACATTGCTTTATCACAGTCACCCCCCTCTACCCGCTCCATACAACTCAACAACAAACCATCTGATTAAAATATGGGCAAAGGACCTATAGATACTTCTCCAAAAAAGGCATACAGACAGCCCCAGCATGTGAGAAAAAAGGCTCACTATCACTTGTTATACAGGAAATACAAATCAAAACCACAATGGGATATCACTTCTTTATTTTTTTGCCATCTGCTTTCTACTCCACAGAATGGACACACTGAAACTGACAATAATTCCAAAGTGATCAAGATCTTTGTAGGCCATTGTGAGTAATATTCCACAACTGTCTTTGATCGGGTAATCTAGTCGGCGGTCTGCAGGTATCAGTGCATGGTGAAGCATAATCCTGGAGGGTCACCTGGGGACACTAATGAGGTTGAGTCACAGACTGAAGTTCACAATCATTCTAATTCCACACACAGACACCTTTTCACAAAAGAACTACTGACCTCTTAGCTATGTGGGTGATGGACACAGGGTCGGTTCTTATGTTGGGTTTAGTTAGTTTAAGGATGTTCGATATATTATATTATTAAATGGATCACTGAATACATTAATAATGGGGATCCATTGTTGAGGCAGAGAGGAGGACGTGGCATAAATTATTGTTTTTAATTAATTTCATGGTTCCATCATGTTCACCGAATTAAAACCTAAGCCTGGACCTTTTCATTTATTCACACTCTCTTTGCATCCCACAGGGTGACGCGTCTTGGCTAATTCGGTCGTCCTGCCATGAAGACTTTTGCCTCATTCCTCTGGGCAAGGAATTGACTATGTAAGTCATAGAGTTCTTGGTTTGGGTGGTTAGGTTCATTGTGGGTTTCCATTGTGTCATTAAACAAGAAAAAATGTAATTAAATTTTAAAAGGTCATTCATGAATCTGTGATGAGAATGTATTTTGAACCAAAGTTCATGATCAATCCAATTTAACACAGATGAAGTATAAGAGAAAAGCTTGACTTAGCTTATATCTAAACTTTGTGTCCCATCTTATGTGTGTCCATTGATCATTTAAACATCTCCCTCCTGATAAAGATCCAAACTGTTACTTAAATGGGGAATCGTATTCTAGTGTAGAGTTAGAATGTGGGTTCATGGTTGTTCATGTAACATCTAAAAATCATTTCAATTAAGTGCACTGGTACTGTGCCTGGGCCAATGATGTGAATGGAATGCATCTGAATAGAAATTATGATCAGTTCTTGTTGAACCACTGAGGTCCGTTGCAAAGCTAGTGTGTGCTTTTTTGAGAGAAAGATCTTAGGATAGTTCAAGAATCTAATTCTGAGACACAAGAGGGTTCATGTATATTGATTTTATATTACTAATGACTAAATGACTGGAAAAATAAATAAGTCAAAGAAAATAACAACATGGACCAATTTTGAGGCTGTTTTATGAAACAAAAAGGCTATTAGTGCAGTTCTGAAATATCTCCATCCATAAAGAGCAAAGATGGATGAAAGCTGGTAACCCTTTGTGTAGTGAGCAGCTGAATCCACATATTTAATAGTCACTGTTCTGCTCTTAGTTTGCGGTGGATTTCCCAATGTTTGATTCATGAAGAACAAAAAGTTAAAATTAAGCAAATATAAATGAGGGCAAGTATGAACCAACGATGGGTATATTTTATTCTGTTTTACATCTGCTTTTATACCCCAGAATGACTGCACCTTGGCTCTCCCAGTAACTTCATGATGAAGCGCCTCACTGTTAACCTGTGTCCCTGGGGGAGCAGAGATCACGGTAATTGATTAAATTCTTATGCTTGATTTGGCCATTTTATTTATGGATGATGACTATATTACTTTTTAAAAAATAAATGCTTAATGCATTCCTAAAACCATGTCAAAGGCCGTGCATGGGCCAGTGATAAGAATTTTTCCTGATGAGGTCACAGTTCATTTATTTTTCAAAGTCGAAAGAAATAGATTTCCATTGAGAAGGAGATTTGGGTGACTGCTTCTTAAGATTATAGGCGTTATACTCTTAGTCCAAAATTTTGTTCTTGAGCTGTTTGTGTTTTCATTGGGATTTATTATTTAGCTCTAAACAATAAGTAATTAAGCAAGTTAAAAGTAAATATGTTCATATAATTCAGTGGTCATTCATGACCAATGTCACAATTATTCGTGGAAGGCCCAGCTGTCTGCCACTCTGTCAAGGGGGACGTGAGAGCCTTAGTCGGCAAAACCCCCCTGTTTTTCGAAAGTACCCTCTTTGCTGTTAACTTTAAAAAAGAATACCTGACTAAATGAATCACCAGGGAAACTCCATATATAAAGATTAAATGACAAGCATATCCCAAAAACAAGGGTCAACCCAATTTTGCTTCTCTGAGGTCCATTTCACTGAAGAGAGTGATCTGCTCTCTTGAGCACAGGGATATTGATAGATGTTAACATCTTCATTGTTGTTGTCCTTCCATTTTATTTACACTGCTTATGTTGCCATAACTTTGTGGTTCGTGGCCGTTGCTTAGATTCCTATTGTTGGTATTGTCTAGCAAGTCAACCTATTATAAACTAAATGAGAAGAAACCAAATCATGGCCCTGTAATGAAAATAATGCTTTTTTAAAAAAAATAAGGATTATGACTACATTTCTGCAGCAGGGACACTTAGGATATAAAACAGCTTTTTAAAATTTATTTATTTATTCATTTTATTTATTTTTTATTTTATTTATTTATACAAGCACTGGGTACAGTCAGAGCGGGGAGCAGAGCAGGCAGAAGGACTGAAGTACACTGCTGAGGGGAGCAGTGGGCAGCAGGAGAGATCTGCGCGCCATCTGGGCCCCAGTGGCCGGGGAGCAGCTGGGGATCGAACTGGCGCTGCAGAGGCTGCGGGCAACTTTGCAACCCAGCACTCAACCGCTGCGCCACTGGGGAGGCCCTAAAACAGCTTTTGAACATTTATTTCCATAGTGTGCTTGCCATGGCATGACTCTGAATATAGTGCTGAAAGATTGGGGTATTTTACATGCTACTTACATGCTTTATCCATCCTCCCCCCACCTTAAGCACAAGGAATTAGTGGGAGGAACCCCTAGACCCCATATTTTAAGTTTTCTGACTGTTGGTATTTGAGAGAATAGTAATGTGACGGATTCTGAGGCGCTGATTTCGAGAAATACACGAGTCTGCGTCCATGCCACTCGTACTTGAATCCGATCTAGTTCCAGCCATCAGGTAGCTCTTTGGAACTAGATGGAGACCCAGATATAAATGTAACAAGAAAACTGGGCAAGAGAATGGACTTTCCCGAGGCAGAGAAGGGAGCCCTTGGTGCCATCGTGAGTATCTGGTGCTTCATGAAAGAGACAACGCCTGAGCTGGGGCAGGCCCACAAGAGCGCGTCTCCAAGAAGCAGCAACAGGGTCTTCCCGTTTATGGTCTCCCCCTTGCACACAGACCTCCTACAGGACACACTTGTTGAATCAATAGTTGAATCAATGATGACCGAAGTAAAGAAGGAATAAAGTAGTGAGTTAGTGAATCCGTGGAATTCATTGAGGATACAAAGGAATGAGAAAAAGAGTGGAGATGTGAAGAAGAATGCGAGTCAGGGCCGTACAGCAAGGGCTGCGGGACTAGATTAGATAGTGCATGCGTGTGCACAATGGACAAGCCAGTATGTGAGCAGAAGTGCCAAAAAATGAATGAAAAAGTCAGTGAATGAATGAAATACTGGTAGGTCATTGAGTCAAAAAGTGAAAGTTGAGCACACAAGTGGAAAGATGGACAAATAGGTCAGTGTATTCTGGAATGCGTTTGTGAATTAATGTAGAAATGAAAGCTAATAGGTAATGAGAGGTTGAATTAGTTAATGAGCAATGTGTGAATTAATCAATGAATGATTGACTCAGCTAATAACTAAATACATTCATGAATAAGTCCAAGAGTGAGTGAATAAATGAATAAAGCAATGAAAAAGTTGAATGATTTAACTAAAGAATAACTAAGTCAATAAATGACACAAACTAATGAAGGAATCGATAGGGAAATAGAGGGATGAATGAATATATTAGAGCAAATCAAAGAATAATGAGTGAGTGAATAAATGAAATATTTAGTGGATAAGTGTGCATTCCAAGAGTAAATTAACTGCTCTGTGAATGAATGAATGAGGGAGTGATTCAGGGAGTAAGTGATCGTGTCAAGATGTGAAAGGATGAGTCAGTGGCCATGTGTGAGGCCGTGAGGGAGTGAACTCACACTTGGATTCCTCCCTCCCACAGCTGAGGGAGCAGACCACACCCAGCCTCCGCGGATAAACACCCAGCGGAGCGGCCGCCTGCGCTATCAAGGCCTCTGTTTACATGTCATCACTGAGCTGCTGTTCCCAGGGGGCCAGAACTGGGTCAAATTCTCTTTTTCCCCAGCCCCGGCCCAGCCCTGAGCTGGGCAGCACTGGCACATCACTGCAGAGTGAATGAACAAGTGGCTAAAAATACTTGGTGCTTTTGTGGAAAGGCCTGGCCTTCTCAGAATGGCCTGGATGCTGTTCTGTGGGGGTGCGGTGTGTCAGTGGCCGTGGCATCCTCCTATGCAAGGCCACTTCCTCCCTGGAGTCCAGCTTCCTGTATCCAGTGCCAGAGGAGAGACAGGATACTGGCAGTTCTCACTGCCCTGGACATTGGCCCATCCTTGGGCAATGTTGGCTTGGCCTGGTAGGTTGGGAGCCCTGGGTCTTCCCGAAAACTGCCCTCGCCTCTGCCAAGACAGTGGAGCCAAAATAGCCAGGGCTGTTGTCGTGCCTGCAGCGAGCCCGGCTGCCCGCCTTCCAAGCAGAGCGGCGTCCTCCGGTTCTCACTGCGGGCCCACGCCGGGTGTGCGGCACCTCTGGGCCTGCAGCCTCAGCTTCATCCGGTAGGTGAGGCTGTGGTGAGAGCTGCAGGGCACTCCCGACCCGACGCTGCCATGTCCACGTGCGGCACCTGGGCGGGGCTGGAGGCTGTTACTCTTGGATTTTCTCCATCGCCACCCAAAGTGGCTATGATCATCGGATGTGACACCAGATTCCTCCGTCTCAGAAGAATGAGGAGTTCAGCTAAGTCTTGGGAAGAAGACCAGTTTGGATGGACGGCCCATCCAGATCGAGCCCCTTCCAGGCAGCGTAATGGGTCCTTCCGCCAGGACAGTCAACAAGAAAGGTGAGTTGGTGAGCCCTGGGTTCCAGGGGGCCGCTGCCAAAGCCTGCTGTCCCCCCCCACCCCCAGCCTCCATCCTTCTGACCCTCCTATTCTCCCTCCACTACCCCTCTCCTGTCTCCCAGAAGCCCTCCTTCCTTCCCCTGCTTCTCCCTCTCTCCCTCAGCAATCGTGTGCCCAGCGCCCACCAGTGCTATCCCTCACACTGACCTCACCTCTTCTCTGTTGTCTTGTCTGGCTCCGGTCCCGGTGTCCATCTCCCCTCCTTGTCCTGCATCCTCCTCTGGACCTGGTGACGGTCCCCAACATCTGGCGCGGAACCACCCCTTGGCTTCGTGGACTGAGCTCAGCACTGGGATGAACCAGGTAGATGCCCCTTTCTTCACTGTGAACATCTGGGGCCCAATTTTTGAGTCTCTAGATTGACTGTCTCCCCTCTCGGTGGCTGCACCCCCTTGAGGAAGGGGCTCAGGCCATGTGGGTAGCAGGTCAGCCCTGTGAATGGGGGATGGATGCGGGACCAGCTGGAAGGTGAGCTGTGACTGGCCAGTGTGTCCCGTACAGCAATCAGGTCCTCCCAGCTCCGGAGCCCTTGGGTGAGTGAGGCCCACTGACCTGGCAGCAGTCAGCAGTTTCCTGCTAGCTTTATTCTTCGGGACCTCCCACTGGGTCTCTGGGCCTTGTGCTGACCCTGAGCCAGACACCCTCTTACGCTCACTCTGTTCCTTGCCTGCGCAGCCTCGCCCACTTCTGCTCTTTCTTCCCCCTTCCTTGTTCACCTTGCATTGCTAATTATGAACAAGATGACAAACTTCTTGAGGACAGTCTTCTTGTTGTCTTAGAACCCATCCAAAGGTCTGACCCCAAGAAGTGGTTGGGAATTAATCATTCACGCTTTCGTTCAAAAATATTGGGTCCCTTTTTGGTGCCAGAAGCTGGGAGACAAACAGCAAGGTATAAAGTGCCCTACCTTTGCCTTTCTGGAGCTCTAAGTCTTGGGTGGAAGAAAAGTTTTAAACAGATGTTCATGGCAAAAGAGCTCCGTTGTCCTGGGGCCAGTGCAGTGAAGCTGGAGCATCCAGGGCCTGGTGGTCTATCCAGCCAGGTGCCTTGACTCTCAGGACAAGCGCCCCCCACTTCTGTCCCATATTTTAGGGGACCTGCGAGAAGGACATGGTCAGAGCTGGTTGATGGTTTCGATCAGAGAGGTCTTCAGAGTTAAGGTGGAGGAGGGGAGTGTCTGCTGCTGGCAGATCCCCAGGCCTCCAAGCGTGTGTTTCCCTCTCTGCTTGGCAACAAGGCTGTGCTGAGTGTCAGGGTTTGATCTGCCCGTCAGCTTCCAAGTCCTTCTCTTAGGTGTGTGGCCAGTGACAGACCATGGGGAGAATGGACTGTGCATTGACCTCTCCTCCCCCTCCATCACATTCCACATTCCAGTCTTAGTTTCTTGAAATGGCCGGCTGAGAACCCGTGCTGAGTCAGCACCATGCTGACCATGCACCATACTCGGCAGCAGCAGGGGGTGAGCATGCCCATCTGTGTACCCCACCCTCCCGCCCTGCCACAGTTGCCCCTTCAACCCCCTCCACATGGCCCTCCTCCACCATGGCACTTGGCTATGGTGGTGCCAGTCTCCCTGGGTCTTCCTGCCATTCCTCCAGCTGTACCCATCATGGCTGGTGCCATCTTTCTAGCATACACAGTGAAGAGGCCTGTGTTCCCGAGAGTTCTCGTGAAGCCCAGGTCTTGGCTTTTGTCGCCCCTGACCACTGTTAGGTGTCTGCCTTCCTGCCAAATCTTGAGTTTCCGACCATGGGTGCCCACTCTTGGTGCCTCAGAACCAACCCTGACTCCACCAATGTCCAGCGTAGAGCTTGCGCAGAGACCCAGCTTACATGCAGGAATGCATGAATTCATGAAGGAAGGAAGGAAGGAATGGCGAACGAAGCCCAATGGGAAGGCTTTGTTGGGACACATTGTCAGACCGGCCAAGCACTCGGACCTGGCACTTGGGAGGCGCCCCCCCCTTGTGAGGCCTGCCTCCACCCCAGCCAGTACCACTTCGCCTCCCGCCAGAGACACGTTAGCAGACGTGTAACCTTAGTCCTCGAAACTTCCTGGGTCAGAGTGGGCTTCCACTCGAGGCGTGAACATGGGCCTTATTCCTTTCTTAATCTCATGCCCCCGGGGAGTTTGGACAGGATGTGGGCTGTCTGGCCGGTGCTTGAAACTGAGCATTTTGTGAAAGGCCATTTCAAAATTTGAAACCCATGGCTGCTGGCCAGTGCTGAGTCTGGACTGTGGGGGTCGTTGGGGCCTCCTTTCAGAGAGGGAAAGGAAGGCTTGAGCTGTGGCCAGCTGGACGGAGGGTTTGAGGACAGAAATCTGTGATTTGGTTTTGCTTCTCTGATGAAACTTGAGATGCCCGGTCGTCCTTGTTAGCTCTTCTTTCAAGTTTTCAGTGGGGGCTTCAGCCCCTTCCGAACCAGAGGGCAGTGGGGTTGGCCCTGGCCCACGGGGTGCGGGTGTGAGCCGTGGGCACTGGGCTCAGCTGGCACGGGGGCCAGGGAGGCTCCGGCAGGACTGGAGGCCCCACGTTCTCCAGGAGGCCCCACGGGCTCAGCGTGCCTTGGGGAGCTGGGGACACCGGCGAGGGGAGAAGGGGCACTAAGGCTGATTAGGTCTGTTGTCCGCCGGCCAGCCCAGTGTTTCCCGTGTCACCAGGTGACACCAGGTCTTCACAGTATAGATGAGGAAACAGGCCTGGGGGCGGGGGAAGTGCTGTGTCCTGGTCCCCTCAGGCCTACGCGCCAGGGAGCCCTGACCCCAGTCCAGTGATCTTCCCAGGCAGAGCCGGGACCCGGTCCTGGTGCCCCGGCCTTGTGACTGGCTGTCCCCTGTCTACTGGTGGACACTGACCCCGCCTGGCCCCAGGACAAGGAGTTCTGTGCTCTCTCACTCTCTTTTGAATTATTTTTCCTTTTCTCTGCTAGGAAAGATGCCCGTTTGTACCCCGGAGAAGTCACCAGAACCTTCCAGTTTCACGCCCACGTCTGAAAAAGGGAAGGCAATTTCACTCATTTGTTTAGTAAAAATCTCAGGATGTGATCTGAGCTACACGCCGACCTGCGCCTCATCGCGCCCTGCCTCTGCCGCGGCCCCTGCTGGGCGGGCTCAGACGGCACGTGTGCTCCCGCCCTTCTCGCCCCAGCAAGTCCCCTCACATTCCACCATGCATCTGCCTTGGGCCCCCACCAAATCTTCCCACTGCCGCCCCCACCTGCCTTCCTGACTCCCTCGTCAAGGGTGACCTTTCCATCTTCCTTCCACCTGAGCCTTGAGCTGGAGCCAGGGCTGCCCACTTAGCTTCAGTTTCCCCAACTGTGAACACGGAGACAGGCTAATGACACAAACCCCATGGTCACTGTGCGTGATGGCTCCCTTGGGGGATGGAAGAACTCTCTGACTGACCACCCCCGCCCTGCCCCCTGCCCGAGCCTCACTGGGGCCAGTTGTTGTATTTTCTCGCCCTGGATCTGTTGCTTTCACCAGCACGCGTATTTTCAACATGATCAAATAAGAGTTGGCGGGAGCCGGCCCACAGATGTCCCTGGTACTGCAGGACCTGTGACCCCAGTGGAGGGGCGGAGGCAGGCCTGGGCGTGTGTGGCCCGTGGGGCCCGGGCTCCACTGGGATCCTGGCCTCTTGGTTTGTGGGCCCTCCTGGGGGTTCTCTTGGGAACCCGGCCAGAGCTCAGACTTCTTGAAAGGGCACTTATCCAACTCCTCCCTCTTGGGTCTTCCCTGCGACTCTGGCCCACTGTCTCGTTCATGCCTGGCCTCTCTCTCAGTGCCCTTTGCATGGGCACCTGAATCCCATGCCCTGCAGGGAGCCTTCCCAATTCCTAGCGCACCCTGGGCCCTACTCCTGGTTTGGGCTGTTCATCTCACTGGTGGATACTCCTCAGGCAAGGGGGCACTGTACTGGCGGTGTGGGGAGACAGGGAGGTGGTCCCCAAAGGCATTAGCATCCTCTTGGGAGTTACAAAGAATAGGAGATCACAGGCCCTGGGACCCCGGCTCCAAGTCCACTCTGCAGATCTCCTGCTCCTCCCAGGGTTTGGGGCACTAGAAATGCCCGGGCAGGGGCTGGGAGAGAGTGACCCCTCAGACAGAGGGTCCCCCCCACCGACCTCAGGGAGCACAGCCTCTCTGCCCCACCTTCCATCTCCAGCTGGCCGAGTCGTTGGGGTCACCATATTTTCCACCTCACTGAAGCCCCCATGCTGCAGGTGCACCTCATCATCCCTCTGACAGAGGGAAACCAAGGCCCAGCTGAACCAAGAGAGCCAGCTCGGCCTGTACCTTGGCCTCCAGGGGACAGGGCCAGGCAGTGAGGCAGATGCCACCTGCCTGGCTGTTTGCTGGCTCCTTCCCCACGATGGGAGGGCGCCACGTTTTCTGCACGAGAGTTTCTTTGCAGTTTGCTCATTAGGATGAAAGAGCAGAAACTTTCCTGGCCAAGTCCTCCCATTCCTCACCATTCAGAAAAGCCCCCTAGGGAAGTGGCTGGAAATCTCCCTTCTTGCCCTGAGTCGCCCCAAATGGCATGTTTAAAAATACAAAGCACACAGGCCCAGAGTCCAGAGCCTCTCCGACAGGGCCCCTGGGAGACTCAGGGGGACAGGGCCAAGCCCCCCAGCCTGCCTGAGCTCTCTCCCCTAGAACTTTCCTCTGGTGCCCTTGGCCCCCAACCCCACTAGTGCGGTCTCAGGGAGCACCTCATGGGGCATCCCATCCTCTGAGCCAGCCCCTTCCACAGTGAGGAGAGCCACTGAGCCTGCCCCAGCACACGGGATGGCCAGTCCTTCAGGAGCCAGGGGTGAGAGGGGGGATGCAGTGCCCTGGTCCAGCCCAACCCACTCAGCCGGGGGCCCTGGGCTGTGGGAAGGTGCCCCCAGCACAGGCTCAGCGTCCAGTCCTGGGCTGCAATTACAGAGGGTTGATGGACAGCACGAGATCCCTGAAAGGCAAATAACGATAATCACGGTCATTCCTGGACCCAACGCTGGGGCCATTGAGCCAAGACTGTAATCAGCCCCACTCTTTACACAGCTGGGCCTCAGGCAGCAGTGACAGTCGCAAGGATCAGCGGGTTGAATTGAGTCCAAACCCATGCCCCACCCTACCCATGTCCTTATCTTGACAGCCACAGCAGCACACGTCACACACGGACACACATGCTCGCACGCTCCTTACCTTCCAGGTGGCCTGACCTGCCCCAAAAGGCAGGGAGGCCCTCGGGTCTTCTCCCCAGGTGGGCCTCGCCATGCCCCGCCCAGGTTGACTTCCTCATGGTTGCCCACTTCATGCCTCCAGCCAGCTCTGTGGCTCTAGGTCGTGTCCCTGCACCCCAGCCCTGCCCGGGCCACTGTTGGCTGCCCCTTGCACGTGCCTGCCAAGCTTGCAGGGTGGGATGCAAGCCGCCTCCCCCGGCTGTGGTCAGCAGTGCTCAACAGCTGGACTCCATGGGTGACTTGCCCTCTGCTCTTGGCAGGTACCCCAAGCTGTGGTGGCGTGGCTGAGCCCGAGGCTCCGAGGACATGCGGCTGGAGGAGCGCTGGCCTGGCTGGTGAGTCCTGCTTATCCTGGCTACGCTCTAGAGAGGCCGGTGTACCGGCTTCGGGCCCAGCAGGGTCTAGTTAAAAATGACCAGGCTGTCAAAGATGGAGTGGACTCGTGGGGGAGGCCTCTGCGGCCCCTAATGCCTGCCTTGCCCCCTGGGGCATTGGCACCAGAGGCCGGGCCATTTCTGGCAGCTGCTTCTCTAGTGGAGGGCTGGGCTGGCAGAGAAGGCACCGGAAAGTTGTCTAAAGTGTCATGAGGGGGAGGAGGAGCCAGGACGCCACCTAAGTGGGGGGAGGGTCCCTGTTCATTTTGCATTTCACCTTGTTGGTGGCATGAGTTGGGTATTGAGGTCACCCTCACGTCCCTGCCTGAAGAGTCTTTAGCAATCATTCGGGTAATTGCATTTGGTCACCTCCCTACTGTAACGGAGGATGCCATAAGCAGGAACCTGCTTCTTTTTTCCTGTAAAAAACACTCAGTTAATAACTAAGTGCACAGTTCTAAATATTCTTTCCCTCACTAAAAAAGAAATGCATGTTGACTGTAAAAACCTGTAATGGCTGAAAGAACAAAAGGGCGCAGTGGGCACAACCGGCCCCACCCCTCAAAGATGACACTGCCATGATTGACCAGCCTCTGCCCTTGGGTTTCCTCCTGCAGATTGCATACGTGTACATGTGTGCACACATGTATGTGTGTGTATTTTTAATTAATTGGGTTCATCATCGTCATCCTATTTTTTCCCACCTAACTATATTTTCTGAACATCTTCCCATGCCGTTAGGTAATTTCCTATTTTTCAGGTTAAACACGGCGGCTTCACTGGGTCTCTCTTTCCATGTATTTAGGTCATTTTAAAAGTTGGATTGTGTTAGGTGGGTTGGCATCATGTTTTCATCTTCATATATGTCTCTATAATTTGTTTTCTACAGTCCATTCTACACTTAGAAAGGCCATGTCAAAGGCAAAAGCATTTTATGGGCAGATGGCCCCCTTTCAGCTTTGTATCAACTTACATTCTCAGATGAGCTTAACAAGTGCCTATTTCTCTGTTTTTTCATATTTATTGAGGTTTTTCACATTTGCCCTATATCAGAACATGGTATTTCATACTTTTCACTTTCAGTTCTATGACTCCCTGCGATAAGAGCACCCCCATGCCTGTTTTGCTTTATTGTATCTGATGGTCTGTTCAGGTACTTTTCATTTTTCATTTAGTTTTAGTTTTGTGGAAGCCACGCATATGCATCATTTTAAGTCAAATAGTTTTATGAGATGTAGGAGCATCAGTCCTCCCACCCTCCCAATTCAGGACCTGCTCCACAGAACCAATCACTTTTAACTCTTAACTGATTCTCTTGACATTTGCATCCATACTTTTGAGTAGCATTCTTATTTTTCTACTTCTCTGGTTTTAGCTTAGACATTTTCTTTACTTTTCAGCTGTAGAAGATGAAGATTTAACTCTATTTCACCTACACCCTAAGCCTCACCACACACATACATACCTTTGCCCCAGTATATCTAGATTATACTTTTGGTTTGCGTAATATTCAATGTTCACATTATTATAATGGTGTTTACACTCTTGACAGCTGAACAATGTAGCATTATGATTGTTTACATCTCCTTCACAACTTTCTATTTTCTCTAGAGTTATTAGTTGCCTTGTTTTTCCTTCTTTCTTTGGTTGGTTAGTTTTTAAGGAACTTATCACAGATTTTTCCAAGTCTCTCAATACATTCAAACACATTAGTGTTTTTTTCTTTAAAATGTGCATTATCTTTTTGAAGAAATCTCTTCCTAGACTTTTTCACCTATTTTGTTCTAGGTTGGTTGACCTTTGGGTTTACTGCCATTGTCTTGGGATTTCATCCTCTTCATGGAAAGATCATCTCTCCTTGTTTAGATCCCTGAGTTCATAAATACTGTGTCACCCTATTTTTGGTCTACTCTCTCTTTTGCTGGAGTATATTTCTAGCAGTTTCCTGAGAAAAAGGATTTGTGGAAACCAAACTTTTAGAGACTTTTCTGGAAAGAAAGAAAATTATCTTAACTCACACTGACATTAATAGTTTGAGTAGGTATAGAATTCTAGTTGGTAATCTCCCCCCACCCTCAGATTTTAATTTAATTAATCATTGTCTTCTAGCTTACAGTCCTGTTGATGAAATATCTGAAGGTGTTGTGATTCTTCATCTCTCGTATGTGATCTCTATTCCTGCCCTCCCCACCCATTCCAGAACTTGAGTATTTTCTCACTGTCTTCTAGTATTTTAAATTTCATGTGTATGTATTTGCTATGTAACTGTGTTTTATCTATTTTGCCAAGTCCTTTTGATCTGAAAGCTTGTGTCCTTCAATTGTAGAATATTTACTCAAAGAATTCCTTGGATAATTTCTTCCCATTTTTTTCTCTTTCTTGAACTTATATTGTTTATATGTTGGCTCTTGTTAACTGGTTTTCTAATAGTCCCCTATTTTCCTCTTACTTTCATTTCTTAATTATTTTGTTCTTGTTCTCAGAGAGTTCTGTCTTTATCTTTTAACCATTTTTCATTTCTGTTATCTTTAATTTTCAAGATTTTTGAAATACTTCAAATATTATTTTATAACATTTTGCTTCATGGATATAATTGCTTCTTTGATATCCCTGCCTTAACTTTCTGGTGATAGAGATGTGGATATGGATAAGATAAAGATTTAGATACAGTTACTGCTATAGATACCAATACATGCAGATATAGATATAGATAATACATATACATGTGGGCAAATACAGTAACAAGTTGTTTGTAAACACTCAATGGTCAAGTCTATGAGATGATGGGCCTTGTGAACTATGGGCATTATTGTAGTGTGAGTTACAGAGAAACTCTGGATTTTAGCATTTTTACATCTTTTTCTTTTGGACTGCTTGTATGCTCCGAAGAAGGTTTCTCAGTTCCTGACCTGGGATATTTCTGGCTGCTGGTGCCCTGGGAGGTTTGTGGAGGAAGATTGAGAGGTCTCAAGATCCAGCTTGTATCTTTTTCCTTCTTCCTCTTTAATTGAGAACTTTTGCCCTCCACTGTGCTTGCTGTCTTTGCTATACCCAGCTCTGCTTGCCCTCCATGTAACATATCCCAATCTCCTATCTGGGCTAGGGAGGACTCTGCACAGTGGGTAAGGATTTGGGGAATCTGTTTTCTTAAATACAGAGTGTGAGCCAATCCAACCTGGGTAGGCCCAGGTTTTCCTGCCACATCGAAGCACCTATAGTCTCAGTGCTTCAGTGTATGTCTAGGATTTGGTGTCCCCAGCTCCAAATCAGTTACCACCCCTGTCTTCTTGTCTTTGTCCCTGTGTGCTTATGCTCAACATGGAGATTTCTTTTCTCCTCTAGCCATTTCAAGGAGGGGGACAGGTGAGTGTCCATATTCAGTTTACCATACCTCACCTGGAGTTCATTTGCCCGTTTTCTCTGTTAGTGCGTTCATCTTTTATTTGTATTTGTCAAGACCTTTTAAATAAGAACAGTAACTCTCTCTGTCATGTATTACTAGTGTTTTCCCACATTTTTCATTTGCCTTTACATTTTGTCCGTGGAGCTTTTTTTAGAATTTAAGTATGTTTATGTTCTACAACTCCCTCACTTATTTTTCCATAGAGTGTCCTCTGGTTTAGAAAGCCCTTTCTCATGTAGTTCACTTTATTTTTCTAGTCCTTTCATGATTTGATCTTTCATATTTGAGTCTTTAATCCTTTCATTATTGTGAGAAATAACTACATGTCCCACTTCTACATTTACCACAGAGATAAGTTTCTAGTTTTGTTTCTTTTTGTGGCTATTATTCCATTAATCAACCTATTCTTACACTAGTATTGCTTTATTTTAATACTGTATTGCTGTAAAACATGTTATTATTTGGTAGCAACAGTCTTCCTTCTTTCTTATTTTCCAAGATTTTCGTAATTATCTCATGTGTTTATTCTATCAGATGAATTTTAGTGATATTGTGAAGCTAAAAACATACTTTATAGATATTCTGTGGAATTTTATGGAATTATTAATTAATTGAAAGAGAATTGAGTCTTAGCTTTTGCATGATATTTTGCAGTTTAAATTAATCTATTCACAATTTGTCATTCAGTTTTTTCAAGGATTTAAGTATGGATTCTATTGTGAATTTGTTCCCTCTCTTATATTTTCCTAATTGGCATGCAGGGAAGAGATTATATACTTATTGCTATTGTCTGTCTTGTTGATTTCTCTTGTTCTGTAAGTTTTGAGTGGAATGTTTTGGAATTTCTATATAAAGAGTCATTCATATTTGCATAATAAGAATTTACCTCTTCTATTTCTCTTTCCTGGCTTCTAGCATTGGCTAGATCTTCCAAAACATTAAATTGTTGGTAACAGAAATCTTGTCTTATTTCTGGTTCACTGTTAAACATGCTAACAAACAACTTTAGAGGACTCCATGCCTTTTTATAATGCAAAGTAATTATTTCTATATGACTTTAAAATCAGAAATGAATTTAGAATTTTATAAAATGGTTTTTGATGCCTATAGAGATATTCATGTTGTTTTTGACTTTTTGATGCTGTGGATTATAACAATGTTTCATGACTTTGAAACATTTTTGGATCAAATTCTGATTGTTTATCGTGCATTGTTCTTTTAATATGCTACATGTGTTGTTCTGCTAGAACTTAATTAAGGATTTTTCAATTTATTTTGTGTTGGTTTTAGTGTTAAAGTTATGTGGGTTTTGTAAAATTGATCAGGGAACACTCCATCTTTTTCTACATTCTGTACCATACCTATATTTGATTGACCTAGACCATGGAAGCTTGAAAGAACACACCCATGTAACTCTCCTGGGGTAATTCTTTGACAACTTTTCCTGTTTCTTCTGTATTTATTGGAATCCTTAGGTTTTCTGCATCTTTAGAATTTCGCATCTTGTTCTAATATAGCTAAGCGTTTAAATGTGCAGGCACTGGAATCAGAGAACTTG